CCAGATTGCGTTTAATTCGAGCTGGATTCTGTGGTCGCGGTCGCGATACTTCTGCAATTATCCGGGCAATTGGCGGATTACTTCAACTCCAAGCAGTACCTAACGCTGACGCTATTGAGGAAGTCATTCATCGCTGTCGGTTTCATGGGACAGTGCCTTTTCCTGGTGCTCTCCGTGCACTGGATGTCGTTATTCGGAACGGTATTCTGCCTGATAGTAGCAGTAGGTTTCGCAGGAAAAGATATGTCGGCATTCTGGTGGGTGATATTATATTTATGTCGATAAATATGGTGAATGTTGGATGATATTTCAGCGTGAACGTGCAGGATAGATTTGGTGCCCAATTACGCCCCCGTCATCACAGCTATGGCAAACACCTTTGCGACCTTACCCGGAATAATCAGTCCTACTCTTACCGGGTATCTTGTAACAGATGAGGTGTGTATGAGAAAATTTAACTGCAATATTCTACTTCATTGAAATTTTACACTAAACGTCTTGTATTATGTTTTTTTTTGTTTTAGAGAAACGTGGAAGAGTGAAGGATTGTGTTTTATATTACTGCCGGAATTTATTTGCTGGGTTCTGTAATAATCCTGTGTTGCGGCTTCGGAGAGTTACAATCGTGGGACTCCGAGCAATCGGTGAAAACGAAAAAACTAACCAGTGAAGAGGGTTCTAAGAATAACGCTTTCAAGAGCGACGAGACATAGAGATTTTGCACCTATTATTTCAGGACAAATCGAAGAAACCGAACTAAGACGATGATTTTGCGTAGTAGTTACCTTTATAGCGAGTTATTTTGTATTAATATTTTATTAGTACTTATGTTTTATACAATTACTATACATCCTGATAATAATTGCCACCGCAAATTATCGTTTTTAAATAAATACGATCTACCAATTGATCCGGCCAACTAAAAGTTAATTTAAAAAAATAAACGACTAATTCGACTTTGAGTGGTCGGTACGCGCTGATATTCCAATTATTCGCTTCACGGAAACTCGGTAATTTTAATGTACTGATTGTATTGTCAATGCTATGTGTATACACGGTCATTATTTATTAACAATAAAAAAATGGTATGCACGCATTCGCAGATTCGTAATAGCCGCAATATGTGTCATTATATCCTACTAATACATCTTTTCGTTACAACGATTCCGTTTATTTGAGTCGAAGAGTTTTTCGCGATGGTGTTTTTCCGAAGGGCCACGTCCGTGTATTCAGTCGAAAAAGGGTGAGTAAATTAGATACTAATTAATTGCCGAAGGAACGTTTCGATTCTTCGATTTAGGTCGAACGAGGAAGCATCGTGGAAATTTTGGAAAACCAAACGCTACGTGGTGGCTTTGTTAGCTTTCTTCGGATTCTTCAACGTCTACGCCTTTAGAGCTAACCTAAGTATAGCCATTGTCGACATGACCCAACTCAAAAACGTTACTTTGGAAAACGGCATGATCATTTAAGAAAGTCATTTCGATTTCGACCGTCTAAATTATATAACCATTTGCATATTCGCTGGCGATGTACCAAAGGTAAAAGTAAAATATTAATCGCTTTATCGAGCATCATTCAAGGCAAGCTACTTTAACTGATAGATTCGAAATAAGTAGTTCATTTGTACAAGCTGACCCAAGATATTAGTTCACTTGTCATCGGGGGGCGTAGCTCAGATGGTAGAGCGCTCGCTTAGCATGCGAGAGGTACCGGGATCGATGCCCGGCGCCTCCAATCTGTTTTTAGTAATCTCCTCTCCTACCGGTATTCATTTTATTTTATCTACCCATTTCGAATATACAGGAGATATTTTAAATTTTTGTACACAGAAAAGCGAATTCGACTGGAACTCCACGCTCCAGGGATACATACCAAGATCCCTACTAAAAGGGATACTTTTTCTACGGCTACCAGACCACCCAATTCGCCAGGGGCTATTTAGCAGCAAAATTCGGTGGGAAGAGCATCTTCGCTTTGGGTATAGCAGTGACCGCCTTGATGACCATCTTCACGCCGCTGCTGGTCAAGGCCAACGTCTACCTCCTGGTCGGTGTGAGGGTTGTTGAGGGAGTTTTCGAGGTGCGTGCGAATGGAGAATGTTTAGGCGGTTATTTCACGGGTTTTTAGGGCGTCACCGTACCTGCCATACAAGCCGTTTGGGCCGCTTGGGCTCCACCATTGGAGAGGAGCCGCTTGGTGACTGCTTCGTATTCCGGGAGTTTCGTTGGGACTGTTGTGGCGATGCCGGTGTGTTCGTTATTGGCTTCTTCTTTGGGTTGGGAGAGTATATTCTACTCTTTCGGTAAGTTTTATAACGTATTAAATTTACTAAAATATTAATTACAATTATTAGGTGTAATTGGACTTGTTTGGTGTGTACTTTGGGTGACACTGGTGTCCGATTCTCCTTTAAAAAATTCATCTATCAGTCTTAAAGAAAGGCAATACATAACAACATCGATGGAGGAAAGTAAAGAAGATACGTTAGATATGAATAAGATACCGTGGTTATCTTTTCTTAAATCAAGACCATTATGGGCCATTGCAGTAGCTTTCGTTAGCGAAACTTGGGGATTTTATACACTCTTTACTTATTTACCGATAATTATGAAAGGTAAGTATCGATTTTATAGTTTATTTTTAGTTCGATTTTTAGTTTATTTTTTACCTATTAGGTATAATTTACCTATTTAAATTTACTCGATAAGATAACTTAAATTCCAATATTTCCTAATTGTGAAATGTGAATAGCTAACACTGTTTATGCAGGAAAATATAGCCGGAAATTCAACTTTTAACTTTAACTTTCAGGTTTGGTGCTTTTTAGTTTTGTGCTTATGTTTTAGGCGCCTGTTGGAAAATAATTGTCCAATATAAGACAAGAGAGTATATTACAAGAACTATTAAGTAAACTACTTTCATTACCAAAATAATGGAGAATGCAATGGAGAAACCACCATATCAGTAAGTAATAAAATTCAATAATTATGACCGATTTTGATTGCCAAGACTTTTACTGTATTTATATTAACAGTATCTATTAATTAACAAGTTTTGTGAAATGTCTGCCCACTTTCAGATACGATGAACCCATGTGGAAGATTTGGAAGCACAAAAGATATATTGTAGCAATACTTTCCTACATCGGTTTTATGAACATTTTCGCCTTAAGAACCAATCTCAGCATCGCTATCGTCGATATGACTTCTGTTAAAAACACTGTTTTACCAAATGGAACCATAATTTCCGTAATTAAATAACCAATAATATTTATTTAATAATATTTTATATTTATTATATTTATTATTTCAGGAAAAGGAATTCAACTGGGACTCCACGATTCAAGGTTACGTTCTGAGTTCGTTTTTCTACGGATACATTCTAACTCAATTACTAGGAGGATGGCTAGCGACAAAATGCGGAGGAGCCAGACTCTTCGGTTTTGGCATCGCAGCTACATCAATTTTCACGTTGATTTCACCATTGATAGCCAAAACTAACGTCTATTTATTCATCGTTTTAAGGATCCTAGAAGGAGCATTCGAAGCAAGTCGCTACAATATACACTGCTCTTTAATTGCTATAAAACTGTGTTGCAGGGAGTGACGTATCCATCGACGCAGGAACTTTGGTCTCATTGGGCGCCTCCTGCGGAGAAAAGTCGCTTGGTCAGCTTGTCCTTATCCGGGGCGTATTTTGGTGCTGTGATCGCCATGCCAGTGTGCTCATTGCTCGCTACTAACTTGAACTGGGAGGCGATTTTCTACGTTTTCGGTAATAAACTTGTACCTATCTAATTAAATCTCATTTAAATACACTTCTATTCCTAGGAACACTCGGCCTCGTCTGGTATCTAGTTTGGGTGATTGTAGTAAGGGATACTCCGTCTAAAGATTCCAATATTAGCGATAAGGAATTGACGTTTATCACCGAATCTATAAAGTTAGTTAAAAGCGATGATAATGTAAAAATACCTTGGGTTAAAATACTGACGTCTAAATGCTTTTTGGCCACCACCATATGCATGAGTTGTGAAACGTGGGGCTTTTTCACCATGCTTACATTCTTACCACAAGTAATGAAATGTAAGTAATAATACTTAACATTTATCCAGACCTATTTCTAAAATTCTGTACTTCTTTCAGCTTTACTTGGTTTCGATTTAAACAAAGCTGGTTTTCTATCAGCTGTACCATACCTTCTCACATCATTAAGCATGCAACTCAGCGGATACTTGTCCGATTTTATCTTGGCCAGAGGGTACATGAACACAACCAACGTGAGAAAGATCTTCGTTATTTTGGGGTTCATCTGCCAGGGAAGTTTCATATTAATCGCAGGATATTGGGTAAATCCCGTGGGAATACCTCTGTGTCTTATCGTAGGCGTTGGGTTAGGAGGAACCGCTGCTGGTGCTGTTATGTAAATAGTTATAAATATAATATAAAGCGTCATTTCTATGTAATTTTTCGTTGTTTTAGGATAAATTTCTTGGATATAGCTCCTAAATTCGCTAGCGTTATGTTCGGGATAGCTAATACTGTTGGAACTGTACCGGGTATTGTGTCGCCTATCATTACTGGTTATATTGTTACTGATTCTGTAAGTTTAGGCAATAGGAAAGCATTTTGTAGTAAATTAATTTTTTTGAATTATAGACGAGCATAATGCAGTGGAGGATTGTTTTCTACATCGCGTCGGGGTTGTACTTCTTCGGGGTTATGGTGACTTTCTTCTTTATGAGCGGTGTGAAGCAACCCTGGGCGGAGGGGGATGAAAATACCCCGAATGGTGATAAAAAAATATAAATCACGATTTAAATTATATTTTTATTACTTGTACCTACACAGTATTAAATAAAACCATTTAATTATTTTAACTTATAATGTAATTAAATACCTTACCTGTTTTAAATGTTTTTGTTAATTAAATTATTTTGAAGAAACGACAAAAATGAAGGAAAATCCAAATTTGTATTTGTAGATCGTTAATTAGAAATCGACGCAGACTTAAATATATTAAAAACAGAAATATAATTAAAGTTAATGAGATTTTAAAATTCGGTGAATTATTATAATTAGAAGTCGGCTGGTAGAAATTTTCTAATTACCCTATCAGGGTAGTCGTGTAGCGGTTAGTGCTAGTTGGAGCTCGATTATGGCACTCGTACTGAAAAGGATCCATCAGGGATTATTGATTTTAGACGAATTGCAAGGTAAGTAATATTTATTTTAACATAACATACGTAGTTAAAAGTTAAAAATGGTTTCCCAATAATTAATCTTTAAAAGGATTTAATGTTAATAAGATTAAAATGAATTTTTACCCCAAAAATTGTTAATAATGATCATAAAAAAATTGTAATTGTTAATCATAAGAGAAGAAACTGATATTATTTTCACTGTGCTACATTTGGATATTAATTACGTCTAATTTTACTCTCATAATTTTCTAAAATTTTGTTTATGCATATTCATTGCGAATTTGTTACCTTATTCAGTTTCAATCTGGACTTACAAATCTGATTTAATTTTAAAAGGTTATAATTATAATTCGAATAATATGGGTTTTAGTTACTAACAATAGCTAAGTTAGAAACTATTCAAATATACACCTTGTTCCATTTGCGATTGCAACATGCTCATTTCTATGAGTGGAACAAAGAAAGATTATTAAAATGACAGTTGTCAGAGTGAAAAGTTGCAATGACACAAATGTCACTCTTTCCTTTTCCTTTGTAAGTGTCTAATGGAAGTTGTCTTTATCGCACCCATGGCCTATATAACCTATGTTGCGATCAAAAATGGAGCAACCTGTATAAGACTATTTACTGATATGTGTCACTGTTGATTAAAAGATTTTCTATAGTAAATATTATTGAGTATTTTAAATGTACACACAATATTTAAATTAGCTTGTACAAACAATAAAATTAGTCGTATATTTTACACTCGCAGATTTAAGTGTCTATATAGCATAATGAGATAGTCAATTAAAATAATCGTTGGGAAAACTCTAACGGAAAGTGCCAATATACTTTCCTATTAGATAAATAAATGTTTGTAAAGAGCATTTAAAAAAAATGGTAATTTTTCCCCAGACGAACGAACCCATGGAAACGCGTTCGTGGCGTCGCCACTGTGCCTCATCGGCGCCATCGCCTTCTACGTTTACTTCTTCAAGAAACTCGGCCCGAAATTCATGGAAAACCGAAAACCGTACAACGTAAAAAATATCATGATCGCCTACAACGTCCTACAAATCGCCTTCAACGCTTATTTAGTCCTAAAGGTGATAAACTCTAAGCAAAATACACCTACAAATGAGCTAATGATAAACAATTTCAGTGCGCTTTGGTTATGGCTCGAATGAAATCCCTGCTTTGCGAGGACATCGATTACAGCAGAACACCGGAATCCATGAACATCGTTTACATATCGAAATGCTACATGTATTTGAAGCTGTTCGATATCGGAGACACGGTAAATCCAACCATCAACCTCTCCTGACTCATTTCTTGATATTTGATCTTTCCAGCTGTTTTTCCTGCTGCGCAAAAGCTTCAGGCAGATCAGTTTCCTGCATTTGTACCATCACAGCGGCATGCTGACGCTGGTTTGGATCGGATTCAGGCATTATGGTGGAGGAGGTAGCGGCCAATGGATAGTTTTGCTGAATTGCGCCGTTCACGTTGTAATGTTCACCTACTATCTCTTGACATCCATCGATAGCAGCTGGAAGAACAGCTTTAGGTTCAAAAGGAGTCTTACTCAAATGCAATTGGTAAGTACTTCCATTAGTGGGTGGAGAGTTGATTAACGTTACGATTTTTTTCAGGTGCAGTTTGTTTGCTTCATTCTGATATTTGGGAATATCGCGGTGTATCCGACTTGCAATGTGAACAGGTTCCTGGCGCTGGTATTTGCCTGTCAGAACGTGTTTATGTTGTTCCTGTTCGGCGAATTTTACTACACAGCCTACGTTAAACCTAGGAAAATTGATACACACTCTCGCAAAACTCAGTGAGTTAGAGTGGCCTTTTCAAGCTTGATGTGCCTTGAAGAAGTCCCAATTATTTTTGAATATAATACATGATAAGCTTTTATTTCCCTTAAGGACAAAAATGTTTTTCTCTGTAAAAGAGTTTATTTTAATTATACTATTTATAACAATTCCAGTTAAAACAATTACCTGTAAAGGAGAAACAACATTTGTCCTCACTTATGGATAAAATGGGACTGACAAATTATGTGACAGTCGTGCAGTCAAAAAAGAGTCTAAACAATCTGCAGTCTAACGACCATATTCACCAATGTCTGTTAAATCGCTAACAGAGAGATAAGTTCTAATTAGTTAATGCCATATTTTGGCATTTACCAATGTCGGTTAATACTGAATATTCAGATAAAAGTAACAGACCAAAATCGAACTGGTAAAAGAACTAACAGACTGATAACTTCAATCGAAATGTAGATATTTTCCAAACTTTTTACGAATATTTACTAACTTTAAATTTAACTATAATATAATGGAACAGTTAAAGAGAATAGAGTTTCATGAATTGTTCAATTCATTTTCCGAAGATAGTGATAGAAATAGATATTAAATCGGTATAAATATTCCGAAATAGAATTTAAAAATAGGTTCAGATTGAAGAATGATTTGATTAGATGGAATAACCGCTGGAATACGATTATAGTTATTTACTTTTTCAAATATTCAAATTTGACATTTATACTTATTTAGTAATTTGCATTAGTTAGGAGTTCCGCATGAAATTAGAAATAATATCATAATACCAACTTAATCTTGGTTATTTTTATGAAAACTGTCTGTTTATTATCAGTAACTTCAAATATCGTGGTGAATAATATATATTTTTAACCGACTGTTATTGGTGAATATGGGCGTATACCTAACAAACAAGAGATAATAAAAATACAAACAAAAACAAAAAATATAAATCTAAAACAACTACATTGTTTTACATATATTTAAGAATGGCCACCATTTCTAAGTAAATTAAGTGATTATGCATTAAAACAATTGGTATTTGTACTGATTGACACATTTCGATTGTTTTGAAATCGAATTAGGATAGGTAGAAGAACTGCGTTACCTTGAATTCTGCATTTGTTCTAAATTCAATATAAATCGTATGAATAAAATTAATTTTCTACAATTTTACTTTTCTGAAAATAACACACTTAACGCACATCCATGCAACACAAATGGAAAATTTAACAATACATAATCGCAAGTTCGAACTTCTACGCAAATGTATCTAAAAACGAATTAATTAATTCTAAACCTTTCACTAAATAAAAGCTCAGGTAAATTAATTATAACACTATTGAAATTTGTCGTTGGTGATTTTTATGATGTTGACCTGAAATCCGAACAATGGAAACGACACTCGCTAATTGGGTCGTGTACCTAGCGCATAAAATGCACGTTATTATAGCACAAGGCTAGGCAGTAAACCCAATACGAAATTCAAAAAACTAATCGACACAAGCAAAAGACGTGTGCCCGCGGGCCACCGAAAAAGAAACGCTCAATACACATACACTTCGATTCTTATTACATCCAAGGTCTGGGCCAAGTAAAAGATGAAAGAGAGAATACGCGTTGGGTTTCTTCAACAAGTTTCATTAACATCGTAACCTGCTTTACGGACGCGAAAGTACGTGGACGAATTCGTCTAAAATTTTTGATTAACAAGAAGTAACGTTAGAATTGTTCGGTATATTTTGCATCATAATAGAGTGCGCTCATTAGGAACTTGACCTTAAAATAAAATTGATGAAATTACGGCCGTATTCACCAATGTATGTTAAATCGCTAACACAGAGATAAGTTCTTATCAATCTGTTAACGTTATATTTTGGCATTCACCGATGTCAGTCATATAAAAGTAACAGCAAAATCGAATTGATAAAAGAAGTAACAAACTTCAATTCAACTTCAATTCAAATGTCGAAATTTTCAAAAATTTTACGATTTTTTAACAATGACATATAACATTTTAATTTCACCTATACCTAATATAAGGGAGCAGTTAGAATTGAGTTTCACAAATTGTTTAATTCATCTTCCGAAGATAGTGATAGAAATAGTTATTAAATAGATAGAAATATTCTCAAATCGAATTTTAAAATAGGTTCAGATTGAAGAAAGATTTGTTTAGATGGAATAACTGATGGAATACGGGTTATTCAGGAGCTCCATCAGGAATGATCGATTTTTTGATCAATTTGGAAGCAAATCTTTGATCAATAGTCGCAGCTGATTTTGGCAGCTTCTGTTAACCTTGAAATTGAAAAGGACATAGAATCTTTCAATGATGTCTAATTACTGTATAGCTAATTCACGTCTACTATTCACGTATTAACTGCTACTGGGATTGGTCGATATTAAACCTCTTTATTTACCAAAGGAAAAACTTTTTCATGTTTTCGACTGGGCGTGAGTTCTGGGCCACCCTGTATAAATAATTTACATTTCTATTAATTACAATAGAGTATACCTACAAAATGCCAAAAAAAATAATTTTTAAGGAATATTCACCTAATTTTATACAGAGTGTACGAATTCTTCCGCTGCAAGCGTTAGAATTAGAATCTCAATCAATACTATAAGATAGTAAAGAACAGAAACTTGTTTATCGGTTGCCGGCCGATATTAGAATTCGTCAATTCGCTTCGCTTCGTTCACTAGCGAATAGCGGGGATAGCGGGCGTGACTATTTCGTATGTTCTCTTTATTCCTTACATAGCAAAAGTTAAATTAGCTATCTCATTATTCTCATTATATGCTTGCAGCGGATCAGTTCGTACATACTGTATAATATTTTGTATACACTACCTAATTCAAATTCTTTAAATGAAATTAAACTGATGTGCTTATCCATTATAACTTTATCACAGTTTAAATCAAATTAGCAACGAGAACAACTGTGGTACCTACATAATTCATAATTCTCGAATTCAGCAAGTTGTTCAAGCTCAAAAATCCACCAAACTGTATGTATAATTAATACAATGTAAAACGGCATTTTTCTAACGTACGCTTTTCGACGTAGAGCAATTTACTGTTACCCAATTGAAGAAAGTACATTCGCATTATCGAATTCTTCGATTTTCTTGTACCCGCGTTACCCACACTGTTTTCGTTTTGATGTCGTACCGTTTTACTTTCTCTCGGCTCTGCGAGAGGAACCTTTTGAACTCGACGAGAGGAAAACTTTTGATCCGAACGTCCGAATTTCTTTCGGGTTCCCGGTTTCTCTTCACCTGTTGTTTCGCGTTTAAATACTGGTTAATGATACATCTGGTTACATCTTATGATGCTCCACATTTACAATAATTGTGTATCGAGATTTTTTTGCAATAGGTTTCAATGAGGAGAGGCAATTAATGGTATGAATTTTGCAAGAAGATATTTAAATGTATCCACTATTTAATGTTTAAAAGTAATTAAAAAAATGTAAGATGTGTTCGTCTAATTAATGCGTTTACCCTTGATTATTTGCCCTTCTTAAGAAACCCCCATCAAGTGAAAACAAAACTACAAAAAATGCAAATAAAATGGCACAATACTAATGTATTTACCTAATTAATTAATCAAAAATCCTCCTATTGTTCAACCCCCACTACCGATCGGCTCAGGATTCGGTACTTAATCCAAACTCTTTGAACTCAGCCATTTATTCCGTTCTAAATATTTTACGTGCCTCCGGTTCTCGGCGTCAAATCCGAAATTACTTTCATTAAATTTTTTTTTCATCGCATTTAACAGGGCCGAAAATCCACTAACCAAGTTTTGGTGCGAGCTTAGATTTGACACGAATCCGAACGGAACGTAACCGGCTACACCAGCCTATACACCTATTGTATTCCGTTTTCTAATGTTCAGCAGCAAGCAGTGAAAGCAGGAACGGCAGACAAGTGTCGTTGGCTGAAGAAGAAATCCATCAAGTCCGCCAAGTCAGTGCGAATGCAGCAGCGGCTCGGCCAGTGAGTGGGCAACTGGAGTGCGTGGATTTTTGGCTTTTCGGCACTTTATTTATTTATTTTTTATTTTCCGCTCGTTTTTACTTTTATCAGTAGGATTAACACTATAGGTGAGTTAACATTTTTCATAAGTTTATAATTTTTTTAGTTAAATTTTATTCATATACTAAACCTCTCTAAAGATTTAATAGTGATATTTGAAACTCTTATTGAAGAATCAACAGTTTGTGATACAGTTTGCAAGTGAAACAGAATTATGAAAGGCAGCTTAAATGACAAGAAGAAAAGCTAAGAAAGAAACTAATTGATAGATATCTATCTATTCTTCAGAGAATATTACAGAAACATTTTTCATTTTGTACCAGCCCAAAACTTTACAGCAAAAATTCGCAAAATAGATTTGATTTGTAAATTAATTTGGTGGTAATTCATTTTCTTTTGGCACGTAACGGTTGGGGTTTTTTAAAAGTTACCTAACAATAATCTAGACATGCTAACTTAGTATATTATTTGTTGCACGAAGAAAGTGAAAATCGGGCACTTTGGAGAAAGTACATCAAACTTGTATACACATTTGAAATATCGCGAAATAACTTTGTGATTACTGCTAATACTTTGCAGTGGCAGGAAATAATTTAATCCATAGAAGCTTGAAGGTTCATTTTAATTAAAAAAGTGATAGTACAATTTTAAATTTTTTGGTGTATTTTTGCTATGAGTTTAAATTTTTGAATAAAAAGTTATATCAAATTTCTGTCGATTAACACACAATTACTAAACTACCAAATTATATTAATCTGATTTAAAAAAAACTGATATTCGCCCAATTTCTAAGAGAAAATGCCTCGAAGAATTAGAACTTTTGTAGATTAAATTTGCACTTTATAATTCTGCCTCAGATATATTCTTCATTGCTTTTACATATTTCAGAAGTAAATTATACCTAGTCAAATAAAAAAAAATACATATAAAATGGTAATAGGACCGCAAATTCTGGGTCATTGTATTCATAAATTCGGTTATTATAATCTAATAAGAAATGATTTACAGATGCCCGTTTCAGATAACATCAACGAATTATTCTTCTTACAATTTGCGTTAAAAATGTTCCTAACCTAATTAAATTAGAAGGAAATCGATGACCAACATTATTTTGTTAACAAATTATTCAATCATTGCACAATAACCGGTGAGAAGGTTTTGCATATTTGCAAAATAATTCGACGAGTTCGATGACTTTTTGCGCTGATGCGGATTTTTGGTCGAAGAAAATAACTTGCACGCGACAATCGAAGAAATTCTTATTAAATCGTCTGGTTTTCCACGCGTTTAATCGGGCTAATTAGCGCGACTTTTTAATTAATTTATGTAATTACATATGTAGGTACGCTCAAATTTTTATCGGCTAATTAGGGCCATTTTTAAAGGGTTGTACGAGGTTTAATTCCCACTATATTTAGTAAATTATTTTATAGTAAAAACTGTAAAAACAACACGTGTATCGACTATTGTTAGTTGTTAGAAAACAAATTGTAAATTAATTGTGTTCAGGTAGAAAACATTTTTCTTAGTCTAGACAATTTTAAGAAATGTAGATATTTGCGAATATTGAAATTTTGCAGTTGAAAGTATGCCATAAACGAGGTATAACAAGTACCATTAGCCAACAAAAATTAATTATTATCTGTTCTTTCTCGGTAAAATTTGAATATTAGAAATTGCACGTTTTAAAATTTGTTTACACCAAGAAAAATAATCTCTTCCTTAACAGTTTAACTGCAGGGCATGTTTTCACTGATTCCTTCGATTACTTTTACTTGTGCCACCTAGCCCAACTGTTAACATGTTTTAAGGGGCTAATGTTGGCTTAAAAATAATTAGAATCTGATCGAACACGAAAGTGAATGGATTGGAACAAAATAAATAAACACTTAATTATTACTACATTTCTCTAATTATTTTTTACTGTTGTTTCAGGTTAAGATGACTTCAATAATGCACTTAGTTGTAGAAAATTATAGCGAATTCGCAGAATCTAGAGGTATGATAAATTCATTAAAATTTACACAACACTAATTAATTAATTATGCATCAGTAATAAATAAATAAATGCGTAATTAGTATTGTTTGTACGGGATTAGAAGTGGAAAATGTGGATTATTCAATTCCGTTAGTTTCCTATCAGATGACAACTACAATTTCCGTTCGTTATGCGATATCTTTAACAGAGAATTTTTGTCTAGTCCAGTTATGACCAGCCCTTGGGCCATACGATAAAAATTAATTTCGATAATTCGTACCGGCCAGGTATCGATAAACTATGTACTATTAGAACGGCGTTTCCTCAAAAGTAGTTCAATCGGACGATTTTAATGGTCTGAAAGTTGTTTTTTTTTCTTCTTCTTCATCTCGTTCGTCGGTCGTGTGACGACCACGTGATATAATTAAGAATTAGGCAATGTAAGCGTACTCAATTAACAGAAAAACGCTTTCATTTTCGCGTACTAATCGCTCGATTTTTCAGATCCCACGGTGGATTCGTGGATGTTCATGAAATCCCCGGTACCCGTCGTTGCGATACTCCTCACCTACCTCATCTTCGTGCTGAAAATAGGGCCAAATATCATGAAGCACAGGAAACCGCTAGACCTCAAATTAGTCATGATAGTTTACAATGCTTACCAAGTATTATTCAGCCTGTGGCTGTGCTCGCAGGCGCTGTACGTACAAAAGCCGCTGCAGCTGCTCTCCCGCAGCTGCAACAACCCTTCCAACAACACGGAACTTCAGGATATAGTAAGCAGCTTTATTAAAATTTAATTGAATAATTCTAATGTGGTGTATTCGTAGGTGTATAGTTCCGCTTGGTGGTACTTTTTCTCGAAAATCGTCGAGCTCCTGGACACCGTATTCTTCGTGCTCAGGAAGAAACAGTCGCAGGTGACGTTCCTGCACGTCTATCACCACGCCATCACCATGTTCTTCTCGTGGGGATACTTGAAGTTTTTGCCAGGTAAATTACACTTGTTCGGTGCTATTAAGAAAGTAGGTGCACGGAAATCGCTGGAGTCAATGATTTACATCCTCTTAAATGAAATCTAATTAAAGATAGGATGTTTTTGTGATCGGTTAATGCGTTAATGGCGGTCGTAAAGCGATGTAAAACGAGCTTTGATTGAAAAAATAATTGAATTCACAGGTGTAAATGCAAAATTCGTTTTAGAAATCCTACTAATTCAGCTCTGATTTTTAATAGTTTATTATTTATTTTAATGTTCATGCTCTGAAGGGTAACGAACGTTTAATTTAGATAATAAACGCTTCTTTGTAGCTTTCTTTTCGGTTAACGCGGACTCGACGATTTTACGAATAATCCAGCGTTTTATTGTTGATTGTTCAATTAATATTGCTTGTGTATTATTTTGAATAATTGATTCAAAATTAATTTTGGGAATCGTTGATTACATTATCTTATAAATTTGATTGTAATTTTAGGTGAACAAGGCCTCGTAATCGGATTTTTAAATTCGCTAGTCCACGTTGTGATGTATTTTTACTATTTCCTCTCAGCGCTAGGACCAAAATACCAAAAATACCTCTGGTGGAAGAAATACATGACCTGGATTCAACTGGTAATGTGCAATTACATTTCTAATCCGAAATTAATGAATGCTTTCAACGACCAGTGGTGTACCAACCGATTTTCGATTCTGTTTCAGACCCAATTCTGCATAATGTTGGCCTATCTAGTCTTCATTATCGCCATAGACTGCAAGCTACCCAAGGCACTGACCTTCTTCTTCGTCGGCAACGTGGTCATCTTCCTCTATCTCTTCAGCGATTTCTACAGGAAAGCCTACAAAGCTAAACCGATCGAAACAGGAGTAGCGACGACGAACGGTCACGCAATCGAGAAAGTGAAAGCTCAATAGTTTTTTTTTTAGCAAAACCATATTCTATTTATTCTTTGTTTTGTTATGTATTAATAGGTAAGAATCGTACCTACTAGACGGTGTTCTTTTACCGGAAACGTCCGGTGAACGAGGACCGTCCTGTAAATTCGACATATTTGTACAGGGTGAGCCTAGGAAGCTAGCAAATATTTATTGTTCGAATTTAGAGAGTTTGTATTTTAATTTTTAATTAAGTCGTAAGTGATTCAAAGTTTGTGATTCAAAATTGTCGTCGCTGCGCTGGCGAAAATGAAGAGCGATAAAATTTGGCAAAACAATACTAAGCAATTTCGTTTATCCGGTGATCCATTTTGTTTTGGTGATTTTTATTGTTTTTTATTTTATTTATTGTAAACAATCGGTCCCAGCAATTGGAATTTCTTGTAATTTGTTTAATTGTAATTATATTAGTGACAATTCATGTAGTTGTTATTTTTAATTTTTTTTTCTAGTACTTTATTAGAGGTCCAATTAGGGAAAGTGTAAATTCGTCTCTTGTTTACTAATAAATTACATAACACATTGTTCTAACTTACAACCGTGTACAGTACTCTTATGTAGCATGATTAATTTCCATCGGATTCGATTTGTTAGGCATCGAACACGGAAAAATTAAAACGAGATTAGCTCAGTTGAATATTACGAAGGATCGTCGTTATTCGAAATAGAAATCTTAGTGCAGTTCAACTTTCGCTTCTAACCGGATCGGTTAATTAACAAAAAAATTATCCTCACGCAATGAAGCAAATTTAGCTCATTTTACGTTAGATCGCGAACACTCGACAACGTCGCAAGCGAGATTTCCCTCTAACACCAAGAATAAGGAGATTACACATCGCTATTAACTATTTTATTTTACCATTCTTTATAACCGCAGCATCTTTATTGACGCTAGCGGGTTTCGTGTAAGAGGATTTGTAAAACTGGTTGAACAATTGGTAGAAAAATATAGCGTTAGGAAGCGTCAGGAACGCGGTCCATCTGGGATACCCGCAATCGAACCAGAACAGCTGACTGTTATGGATGAAAACCATGCAAAACTGGACCTGAAACACCAACAATAACCAACCGATTCCGACCAACCAGTTAACCATACCATTTGCAATGTTGTTATGTACTTCTTCCACCACAGGTACTTCTGCACGCCGGGTCCCAAGGCCGCCAACGAGTAGTACCCGTACATGATTATGTGCACGAAGGCGTTGATGAAGCCTATGAACGTCCCGTGCCCGCCGGGGAAGTACTTGGTGGCTCCCCAAGCGGCCATTGGCATCACCGTGTGGTGGTAGAGATGCAGGAACGTCACCTGCCGGTTGTTCTTCCTCAGCACGAAGAACACCGTGTCAGCGAGCTCGGTCATTTTAAGCAGAAAGTACGCGTGGCACATCGAGGCACTCTGAAATTAACATTGTGATAAGGCAGTGGCTAAATGCGGTCACCAAAAAACTACATATTCTGCTTCTTCTTCTTAGCATCAATAGGTAGTTTGGTGTTAGAAGAAAATAGTTTAATTACGTCTAAAGCGGTTTGCGAGAGCGAAAAATTGACGGGTTCGCAATTATAATTGTACTTTCCGAACCATCCTAATCGTCCTCCCTAAAAAAATCGAAGATTACAATGTAAACTTGAAGCGACTATCACCAGATCACTCACCTCGTAAAACAGGTATATATTTATGATCACTTGGAATATATTGTATACGATTAAGACGGTTCGTAATTGGAACGGTTTTTTGTTCTCCATCCATTTGGGGCCTATTTTGAGTACGAAATACAGCCACAAACCCAAAATAGCCAAGCCGGGTCCTGGATCGCTGATGAGGAACCAATGATTCGTTCTCTTGTCTACAATTCGAAACGATTTAAAGTCAAAATTTAGTAAATAAAACTCAACTTACCAGCGAGATCAGTGAAAACGAAGTCATAAAATGACCGTTGGGTTTTTTGGCTATTTATGGATTCGTTTATGGAAACCATATTGGAAATTTTCAGTCAACTGCAAGAATAATTCGGTAAAAATTTAAATTTGCTGACGATCGATCCGAATTTGAAAATTAATTTGCACAAACTCTCCCTTTCTTTACTTGAAGCGAAATGGAGTGTTCTTAGCGAGGAGATAGCATTTACGAGCGTTACAGATAGACTAATTGAACACCGAAATTCAATTTATTTTTAATGCCGCATACAACGATAATTATTACTCAATTGCGCGATTATCCCCTAGGCAATTAGTCGAATTTCAAATAAGCGTACCGCGGGCGCAATTACAGCTATGCTACTAGTTAAAAAGTATCGAATAGAAGCGGTTTTTACAAAAAAATATAAGCTAGTTAAAATGTTAAAAAGGTTAAAAATGTGACCTTTTTTAATGTATTATTCACAAAGAATAATTCCACGACGTTGTGACGAAAACGTTGTATAAATTTTGCGTTGAGATAATTTCTCATCGAAAGCTACTTTGTGGAGAAATAGGAAATTAGGATCGCAACCTGTTATAGATTCTTGTGCTATAAAATAAATATTTATTTAGGTGGCAGGACATTAATGTTCATTAATTCATTAAATTTTGTTTATGATCAACTATAAATTTTTGAGAATTATTAGATCAGCCAACTGGATCTCCCGGTTTACGACTATGTGTCTTTTGTTTATTTTGGAATAAAACTCGAGTTTACCTCGACTATTTTGGCCTATTTTGTAACTAACTATAATTTATGCAGGAAGTCAATGGTCGTATTTTCACCAAAATTTGAATTATTTATCACTTCATTTCAATAGATATTAACCTTTCTCGACTAAAACGATTTACTTTTTTAATACTTAGGCTGTTAATTCGATTAATTTCTGAATTGATTTTTTAATCAACTTAACTTGAATTACTGATTCCATTTTAAAAAAATAGCACATACGTACAATAATAATACACAGCATAAATATACATTTTAAATAATAAATTAATAGTTAAATAAACTTCCCCAAGCTACTAACTTTTATTAATTTAGTACTTAACGAAAGATTAATCGTAGATAGTATTAATTCATTGGATACATTAATTCGACCGGTGAGGAATTTTTCATTGAACTATTACTCTTACTTGTTTTCATTTACAAATGAACAAAATTCATAATCTATTGTATTCCAATATAATACCGTTTAATAACGTCATGAGAAATTAACCATTTTGCACCTTTACGGTTAATTATTAAAAAATTGGGAATTTTTTCGACGATGGACGAGGCAAAATATTTTCACTCGATTCCTTATCGAAACGCAATAAGTGCATTTAGGTAAGTGGAGTGTTTTTGTTTATTACATTGAAGCTATCGCTCATTATCCTACAAAACCATTAGAACTTTTTTTTTTCTAATTAAATAATCGGAGAAAAGTACACCCGTGTAAAATTACTTGGACTTATTTTTTGCATCGTATCTAATCAACATCAATTTTCTACTCCAAAATAAGCTAGTAAATTTTAATTATACGAATTATTTACCTACATTGTCGCAATTTTTAGGTAAGTATTAACATTTTATTGTATTTGGAATAAATTCAAAGTAATATTTTCAATATAATAATTCTATTACAGGAATATCTTAAGTTAATTGAAATAGAAGAGAAGTGTCTTAAGTTAAGTTATATTTTACTGCATTATATGCAACCAATTTATCTTCTAAGTTAAGTCTTACAAAGTAACAGGTAAAAGTGATTGTAATTAGTTGAAAACTATTTTTGTAATCACTGCATTCTTTATTCGATATTTAAATGTTAAATAAATTAATAATCGTGTTAGATGTAAAGGTTAGGATGAATACACGAGTTGAGATGAAGAAAGGTTGATGAATAAGTAAGATTTTAACTAGAAAATTATTAATTTTTCACATTTTTAGCTTACTGTTTATAAAGCATAAATCTTCTCTATCAGTACTTTTCTGTTATGAGCAATATCTTTTTAACTTTTTCTCTTTAAATGGGTGTTATAATATGAAGAAAAATCTATGCGATTTTTGTGTTTTTAACGCGCAAAACCAAATTCAAACATACAGGAATTTTCACTGTCAAAAGTGAAAGAACTCGATAAGGACCTTGGGTCGATTATTTTATCGCTCATGTGAGGCAAAATATCAACCGGTGGTGTTTCTGTTGACTATCGGTTTCTGTTATATAACCAACCTACTTATCTCGGAAAATAGCAATCTTTTTCGTTCGACAAACTTACTCTTGATCGGTCGCAAAACAGCCGGCGGTTTTCACTATTCTTTTTATTTCTATTTTTAATTAAACCGCTTAACTAGACCTTTCGTCATTTTAAATTGTTCGCTACCGAGCGATCGGGTAATTTTTATTCTTTTTCTATACGTAAATGATAGTCGAATTGACGATTGATTATCCTACATAGTTTCGGGTAGATAATTGAAATGCTAGTTAATGTAATCTTATAATTGCCCTTACATATTAATTACATTATTGAGCGCTGGTATAACGGTTTGATAGATTTAGGACAAATCAGGATAATTTTTACAAAGTAGAGATGAAGTGTAGAAAATTGTTGATTGCGATTAATTGAGGTCGTAAATTACCCTTTTTTTAACAAAATTTTCCGTTTTGCCGGTACGAATTTTCTAGAACGTTATGCCGGAATATTCGCGTGGCGGTAATAAACACAAAATCTAATAACTGTTATTACAATTCCCGCATGTACAATAGCCTACAGATAATTACTTATTATTGTAACATTTTAATATAATTTAGTGTATTCCGGAAACTAATTAATTTGTAGGCATCCTAATGATATAAACAAGTGCAATCAATTAGAATTTTTTTTATTATTGACCTTTTTATTAGCAATGATTGGTTATAGGTGACACGGAAAGGTTGTGAGATATTTATTGTACCAATTTAATATATATTTTTTTCATCAGGAAGGCAATTTGATGCGTTTCAAGGGTGAAAATATTAACATCGGGAAGGGACAGTACAGGTTGGTATAAAATATTTATCTAAAATCAATTGTGAATAAATACAATAAAATATATTTTTGGGTTCTTTAATTTATCCAGTAGCAGAGTTTTTATGGTTGAAGAACTTTGAAAGCAACAAAGGAGTCTATATTAGCGAAATTGCGTGTTGCACAAAATTTGTTACATTAATCGTTGCGAAAATAACGCTATAGATATAATATTTAATCCAGACAATATTGCACCACAAACGTTATATGCAGTTCGGGTATTAAAAATATTCTCTCTACTTTTATTTAACACCGCAAATACCCCAGTAAATGGTAGCATAACGCCGCTTCCTTTTTACTCACAATTAATTTACATCTCGTTCCAAAAGCGCAATTTTCTCGAAGAAAATTACAAATTTTCCGAATAAACAAACTTGACTTATTGATGCGTTTATTTCCTATCGCTCTAATTGAGCCGATATACTTATTGAAAATTCATATTCAGTAATTAAATAATGCTAAAATGCTTGTAGTGCGTCAGTATTTTCTCTTGGTATAATAAAATACTAAATTATTCTGATCAGTTAGGCAAATTATTTGTTTTTGTACCGAGAAAAATATGCCATCAATTTCGATTACTAATTAAAAATGTAAAATTTATACCATGTGGAAAATTAAGACAAATTAAAACAGTACCTACATATAATAGTGAATAAAAATTTCCATTATCAAATAAATTAGGAGGGTGTACTATATGAATTACAAAAATTACTGGATAAGAAATATCGAGAACACTGCATCAACGATTATTCTATAAAACTAATAATTCTACAGGGTGTTTTTTAATAACATGCTAATACTGAAGGGGGTGTTTCTTGGACCCTTTTTAAGAAAAAACCTTCATATGAACATGTCTAAATTTAATGGGGCCTCCAAAAATTTTTTTTTAATTTCAATAGAAAACAGTGGCGTACCACTTTTACCCTTAAAAATAGTTGGTCTGAGTCCAGTACGGACGCCAATGTTGGAATATTTTTTGTGTCAAAAAATGCCTTTTAATACAAACACGCCGTTCACCAAATTTCATAAAAATATTTAAAGTGGTACGGAAATGACAGTAAAAAATTGATTTTTTTCTTAACACTATATCTCAAAAGTTAAGTCGTCTACGACAATTTTTCATATGAAGTTTTTTCTTAAAATGGACCCAAGAATCACCCTCTTCAATATGAGCATATTATTAAAAACACCCTGTATAACTACATATTGATTAACTAGCTAGAAAAAATCATCAATAACAGTCAACAAATTGCAGGTGCGTAAACGCACATATGCACCTAATAATTTTTTAAAGCATTTGTTGAATATTACTTGACGTAGGTAATTGGAGCAGGAAATTATTTTTGAGAACAACCGAAGACGCATTAAATAATTCCGATAATATTTTCGATAGGAAACCTATCTTCTCTAATAGCTATTCAATTAGACTATATGATAATTAAATTTAATTACATATTGACGTCCGCTATTTCGCATATTTCATTATAATTTCAAATCAACAATGTAAATAATATTTTTCTTAATTAACCTTATTCCGTATACGCGAGAAAATCTTAAGGATATTAAAGGGAAGAATAAGTGAATTTCAGGCGGTTAAATATTTGCATTCCAAACTTTACCCAATCCTTTTCATGTTTAACTGGATTCTACGCGATATGCTAACAATTGCATCATAATTAATACGAAGTACTATTACAATTCAAAAAGCGAATTTATGACAAACGGTGCTGCAACGGATAATTTACTGCGGTCAGATAAGAATTTTTACTACTTTCTATAATATTTACATTGCATTTACATGAAATAAAGCGACATAAATAATTATTTTAGCTAATTAAATTTGTATAAAACCCATTAAAGTAATACGTAGATATAATTAAAATTAAACTTCACGGTTAGAAGCGAAGCGATTTTTCATCCACGTTTCCTCAATGACAACGCTTCGGATTTGTTTAATTAACAATTAGAAAAAAAATCATAGTTATTGCAAAACCCTTTTCCCATTCGTCCGATTTCAATGTTTATCCACTTGCGAAACATCCACTAATTTCTTTCAAACCGATTCGAAAAAACCGACTAACCTTCGTTATTAAATTCTGAATCGGCTCGAATTGAACCGTTACTTATCGAAATCGCAATCAGCATCTGTAACGTTCATTTTTGAACCGTTTGTGCAATTCAATCAAGACTATTTCGACAAAATTACTGTTACATTTTGCACTAACTACCTAATTGGATGCTTACTGTAGGCGAGTACTTAGCTATTTACTTGCATACACCAAATGCATTGTTGTGTAAGGTGTGACTTTTCTCTTTGAAGAAGATAGTTTAAGTGAAGGAATTTAATTTGGAAATGTAAAGGAAATCGAATGGACGAAGTTTATAGAGCAATTCCTTTCAATCAATATCGCAGTAAATCATTAAACATCATACACATCAATGTAACACTTTGTACCTACATAATATTAGTAACATTAGCACATTACCAAGGAAATGAGTTTATCAAACATAATATTGCGAATTGATTCGACGCAAATCGGAATTGTAAGCCAAGCAAATTGCACAATTCCTCCCACCAAATGGAAGTTCACTCTGTGGTCCCCGTGAAGCTTGAAAGCTGTTGTGAATTAGCTAATTGTACGATATTTCTAAGATTCGTCTGGTGGGGGACGAGGGTCACAATTCAAGCTTACTTTTATACATGCATTTTTAGCAAATTTGTAAAAGTTATTCGGACCGTAGCGCGTTGATAGTCGGTACTTTCGATTTCTTAAGGTTGCAAGGTGATAGTGGGTATCTATTGGTAGGAGCTCTGACACTCGCTCGGTTTGATTTGGTTTTTGTGTGTTTGGCACAATTCGCGGGTTTTCAAACAGTGCGATTTTTTTACCGTTAACTTTCAATTTTATTCATTTTTCCCGATTTTTTCCGGCCAGCCATTATGGATTACCTTTGGGAAGAGGCAGAGATCATCATTAATCTTACAAAGAACAATAGTACAGTAAGTACCAATATAGTTTTCTATTTCCTGTAATAAATATATAAATAATATTATTTTTCATTAAGGTAGCGTAGTGATGAGAAAGGGGTGAAATGAGGGTGAAATTTGAAACTGATAAAGAAAGCACACCTGACACAACTCCTATTTTACATTAATTTAATAAATTATCTAAATCTATAATATTTGTAATATAAGGCGCATTATAGATTTAAATTTATGCAAATCGTAAGATAAAATCGATACTAAACATTTATATATCGAGTTTACAACTAATTTAAATATTTTTTCGCTTAATCTTCACAATACAATGAACTATAATATCTCCAAAACGTTTTATTTTGGTACTTACTTAAAAGGAAAATGTTCCAACCAACTTTCAACCGAATAGACTTGAACATAAACTAAATTACTTTTTTTTAAATAATTTAATAATAATTAAATATTTTATAATTATTATGCACGATTTAATGACCCTTTGTATGCTAGTAATCTTACAAAATTCAATAAATGCGATTGTATCTACAGAATTGTCTTACAGAAACTTACATGTGGAATTGCAGTACACTTTGGTGTGTTGACCAAATCACACTAAAAAATTCGTAGGTTAAAAAGAACTTCCTTATGAATTGATCTGATTCGGTCTAAATACCATTTTGGTCTAAATTATAAATTTTAGAAGAAAACGTTATAAATTAATGCATTATACTCAACCAAGTTTAGATAGCCTAAATCCAAAATAAGTACAGTTTGAATTAATTAGCATATTATAGTAACATCAAAGACTTAATGACTAGATGTTCTTTATTCAACTCCTTGAAGTACCATCATGATTGATAAAGAGATGTGTATTTCAATAATGATGTTTATAACGCATATTATGCTTAACTCAATAGGAACAACTCTTACTACTGATGCATAATGATGTTAATTATCATTAATGATGAATAATTCAGTAAAAAAATTTAGTAAAAAATTAATTTCACCGATTTTCAATAAACAAATAATTTAGTAGGTGCTGCTAATTTTTATAAAATTTTTAAAAGAGTCCATCTAGATAAATTGCTGCACTAAAAATTTGACGTAGGTTTGTATTTTTTTTAATATGTGTATCAATTTTTAATGGCGTTCAATATAGTATAATTGCTTATTCAACAACAAATAATAACTTTGGTAATTTATATTAATTACAAATTGTTACTGTTAGTACAATAAGATATTATGTAAGAATTCTGTACTTAGTAAGAGAGTTGGTATATGAAAAATTACTAAGGATAAGACAGTTAATTAAAAAAAATAATACAAAGAATTTATTTATTGGATTTTTAGAAACAACAAATTTTATCAAAATTAATTCAAAATTATATCAAATAAATTCTTAAATTATTTCTACTAGTCCATCTATTTAGTTAGAAATTGATCCGAAAAGGACGTGTTGTAATTATATATAATTCTATGAGGTAAACAAATAAATAATTTAGGAATAAACGATATTGCGTTATTTATTCGAAATTTTCTTATTAGAAATCCGGCAATCCGCGTAAGAGCCAATTATAAGATATTAAATAGAAACAAACAATACAATTATACATAATTATAATTTTCAAGTAGGTAAATAGCGAATTCAAATCTTAATGAATTCTAAAAAATTATCCAACAGCCTCCGATACACGAAAATCTAAACAAACATCCAACATCCTCTAACCCAAAGTCCCAAACGCTATTGAAGGTTACACCAGTACACACACGGCATTATCATCGACATTAAAATTTGATTATATTATAGTAAATAAGCAAATACCCGGTCGATTTGCTGCCATTAAGTAGCTAAATCGAATTGAACTTGAACGGAAAGTATTACAAAACGACGGGGATTAGATTACGACACACTTCTTTACTCGAGAGGAGATGTCGACACCGGCCGTTGCACAGACGTCCAGTCGAATTCTACGATTTCAGCGAATTTATATTTGTTAACACCTTCAAAAGCGCGGACGAAATTAATCTTGTGGCGGAATTTTACTCCATTACACAAAGAAATATATTAGGTACTTGAAATGTATTATTATGTTGCTCCAGCGCTCGTTGAAATCACACAATCTTGAATAAAAAAACGCTGTTGTTTAGAAGATTATTGGTCAGGTCGAGCTCTTGCAGCGTTCTGGACCTTATGTAGTATGAAAATATGAAGTACTTTACTTTTTTTCATTTTAATGAAATGATACGAGACATTAGATAAGTAATTTTAGTGAGGCCCGAAGAACAGTTTGAAAGATATTCTTTTTATCGTCTTATCCCATACTAATTTGCATGCATTTTGCTTATATCTACAACTGCATAGGAATTTGTGCAATATGCAAAAGAGTAAAATGCGCCTAGTGCTCTTGTAAACCCGTCGCACCGTGAAATTAAAATTCGTTTTCCGATAGGACAAACTTCACGAAATACTTGGAATTCCTAACCTAGATAATCTCGATTTGTACTCGTACCGAGCTCTCAGCCGTAAAGCGCACTTCAAGAACGAGATAAAATGAATTCCTTGCGACATTTTCTTCGGACAGATGTCGTCGGTGCAACTTCGCAATACCCTTTTGACCGTCCATCGGACGAAATATCGATTGGAAATCGATATCCGTCGAGCTAATTGATCGCCGAAGAGGCGTTCTAAATCGAAATTTTTAGGGTAAAGCGTTGCGCGATTTGCGCAATAATTTTTACATACGAATTTGCGTAGCTATAACTGGAGATTTCAACGATAGGTCAGGATGTTGAAATTGCTCGTGTACTTGTAGATGCAGTAAAAGTGTTGGTATATTGCATGAATCAATGTTTATAATTTGTAAGCGTTTAGGTCTGGAGAAAAGTATGCCTCATTTTCATAATTGGGATTTTTTGATAACTTTTTGTCGTGTTATTCTGGATATATTAGTAGTAATTAACTTCTTGATGGTGCAATTTAGAAACTTTACAAAATTCTTAAACTCAATATTTTCATACTTGTTCAATTAATTTGTAAATTAACAGATAAATACAAGAAAAAGTTATACAATGAATATCATTATTTTTTCTAAAATTAAGGAAGAAAAATGAGCACTAGGTTAACCTACTATACGCAAATTTTATTTTTCAAACGTATAGGTAAATCATTCAATAAAACGTTTACATTAAGCAATACCTAATTAATAAACGTTAGGTACCGATAATGTTAGATGATGTATCATTAAAGTTAAGCTGAAGAAATAAGCGTGATTATACGCTTAAATTATCGTGTAGTAACGATCCTTAGCATTATTTCGCATGTACTCGATTATTTCACCTTCCTGTATAACACTTCGGAAAACGTTGTGTCATTAATTTGTATTATTTTAACCCGACAATATAATTTTTATAATGGCCGGTTTGATTGGAAATTCAACTTTTTTCACCGCGAGTGGTGTAGATAAAAACTAACTTCTAAAAATTCGAATTGATTTTAATCGCTAATTAAACGACGAACGGTGCTTATTAATTTTACGACCCTATAAAAAAATCAACGGCCGTAAATACAAAAATTAAATCTGATAAAAAATCCGACCGAAAATGGTGAAAAAATTAAGCCAACAACCCGACGAGTTCGCAATCGTTTAACAACCTCTCAGTATTCACCAAAAATATTCTGATTTTTAATTTAATTATATAACGCAAACGATATAGCATCTTAGCAAACCCGCACATGAGGTCAAGTTTTATTGCAACTTTATTCCAACCAAAGCCATTCATAATGCAAATGGAAACAAACAAATAATGGTAATGACAATAACAATTTCATAAAACAGGCGTGTCTATACACACAGATGCATTATTTATACTTTCATGAACCTCCCTGTGTATTCGCACAAGCTTTGAGATTCAAGTTATACAGGGTGTTAATTAATTGAGTGACGATACTTGAGGATGTGAATAAACAAATTTCAAAATATCAAAAGCAGTCTTAATGAACCCTGGGAAAAAATTTTGGTTTTTATTTTTTTACGCGAAAATGGTGTATCATACGAAAGTGTCTTCGAACCGAATTTGTTCCAAAATAAATGAGGATTTTAAAAATAATTTTGGTTAAAAAATCTTTTGCCTCAAAAAATGCTCCTTAATATGAAAATTATGAGAAAAAAGTTTAAGACATGTATCACTATAATAAACTTTTCTTCTACCCAAATATTCACATCCTAAAGTATCGGCACTCAATTAATTACCACCCTGTATTAACTTTAGCTTTCTTTAGCTTAACATCAAATATTACTCAAATACAAAGTGGACTACTTTTTTAATATTTAAAATTGTATTATGGTACTAAGAATATAGTAGGTGAATAAGAAAGGCGATTGACCTAGTTGGATAAGAGAACAAAAACGATTAGATCAGTATCGTACTAGGTCAATGGGTAAATTAGGTACATTTCTCTACTCTAGTGGGTAAATCTTATGTGTTGGTTTTTTTTTGTTGCAGGATGTCACGGACATAGTTAAAATTGTAGCAGATAGGTGTCAAAATGTCATAGAGAAAACCAGTGGTAAGTGTCTTAAAACTTATATAGATCTCATAAAAAATCATCTACTAGTGCAATATTGAAGGTAATAAAAATACTAGCCAATTAAAGAAAATGTAATTAAAATCCATGGAGAATTAACGAGCAATCAGTTGATAACAAGGAAATATATAAAAAAGCGTTTATTACACCAGTATTCTAATTGGAACGGTACAATTAAATTCATTTGATTAGATAGCTGTTACATAATTATTTTCTGAAATTATGTTAATTCTTTGAATATTCAAATGTTACTGTCATGTAAACTTCTTCCTTTATTTTGTAAATATTGTTATGAAAGTTTTGTAAACAAAACCTTGAACAAATAAAATTGTGATGGAAATAAAAAAGAATAGTTAAATACATATGTAGATACCTAAATTGAACTTTTCAGATACATCTAACATTTTTTCAAATATTACGACATTATAATAATAGAGGTTTATTCTTAAATCTGCAGATCCTCGCACGGCCGATTGGCCTTTCATGCAAAGCATCTTCCCAACAGTCACGATGGTCCTAGGCTATTTATACGTGGTGATATTCCTGGGGCCCAATCTGATGGAGAACCGGAAGCCGTTCAAATTAAAAGAGGTCCTCCTCGCCTACAATTCCGCTCAAGTTTTGTACAGTCTATTTATGTTATACGAGGTAAGCCCGGCGAGCGATCAACAACCGAACTTTGCCCGCCAACCAAATTTTTCCATCGTCCGCCCGTTAAATTTTCAAGTTCACAGGCGCTCGTTAGCGCAATAATTGTGCCGGCACAAGCTCGAGCAACTCTTCGAAAAACTTATATAAGACGGGCAAAGTTAAGGTCAGGCTTGCAGGCCGTACAACAGGTATCGTTTTATATAACTCTCTTGTCGGGCGAAGTAATGTCTAGAACGAGGTCTTCCGCGTTTGCTTTCTTCGCAAGGACGCCGCTCGGCTTTCGTTCGAAGGTCATTATCGTCGCCGATTCTGTTGTATAACGAAATTTTTCGATTGCACTTCTGAAATGCCCCGACAGTTTAGCTATAAATTTGCGAATTTTGCAGCATTTGATGAGCGGTTGGTTTTGGGACTACAGCTTCAGATGCCAGCCGGTGGATTACTCGACCAACTCTAAAGCCCTCAGAGTAAGTGGATAGTCTATTACTTTCCTAGGGTTTGATAGAATAATTGATTTAATCGCAATATGTATGTAGGTAGATTGGTTTTTTAGAAAACTGAAGAAAGTGTGATAAAAATGTCAATAAAACTAGGGAGATAAATTGGTGTAAATGAATCGTATATAATACAATTTTTTAAGTATTTTTGCTGGTAATTTTTGCAGATGGCGAATTTGTGCTGGTGGTATTACATTTCTAAGCTCACCGAATTCGCCGATACGATTTTCTTCGTCATGAGAAAGAAGAATAGCCAAGTAACATTCCTGCACGTCTATCATCACAGTCTAACGCCCATCGAAACGTGGTTTTTGGTCAAATTTTTCCCAGGTAGGTAACAAACCTATAAATAATCCCTACTACTTACCTCTCTGATCATCATTCTCCTCTTTGAGCAACTTTATATATTTATTCCTATCTATTTGATCTTAATTTCCCATCATTCCCTTTGAAGTTTTCTTGCTGATTTCCAGTAAAACTATTATCCAGAAAGCTCCTTTGCTGCTCCTAGAATTTCCAAATGAATTGTCGCAATTAGCGCGCCCGCTTGGCCTGTTTGAAACGCCTTGCAAAAGCGCGACGTTTATTTTTTCGCGTTTGTGAAACATATGCTTTAATTATAAATTAATCTCGAGAGAAATCCGACGCGTTATATAACAGCGATTTTAATTTACCTTAAAGTATCTATTGCAAATATTGACAAATAGATACGCTATATCCGAAGTGGAACTGCAGTTGGAAGTCGCCCAGGTCAGGACTTTGGACGGTTTTGTGCGGCAAGATGCGTCGAGTAGTCCTGCTGAAAGTCGCTATTGCAGGATAAGTTTTCTATTATCAATCGTTTCAAGCGGAAAATGTTGCGTTACGATACTGTGCAGGTGCTAACCGAAGAAATACCACGCACAAGTTCGCTGCAACGGGGCGCTTTCTAACCGGTTCTGCAGTATATTTTATGTATTTTTTTCTAATTGGATCTGAAATACCAACAAAGGTCGTCTGGCTGGTGCATTGGTCACTGATATGAAACTAACAAACTTGGCGTTATATCGGTTTCAAAACAATAGACGGGTTGCGATCGCGTTTCCTGCCATATCTTCAAACATTTGCATTACTAATTAGTTGCTATGTGTGTAAATTGCAATTATGAATTTGTTTAGAAATTTATAATATTGTGTAAAAATATAATAAATATTGTGCGCAACAACTGTTAGCAACTCGCTCTTTTGAGGCCATCTAAAATAGGCTATAGGCAAGATGGAGATGTGACATTTTCAGCGAAAGTTCCCTTATTTCTTATCTTTGTGTCCACCAAATGACACCATCCCCACTCAACTCCAAAGGGTTGAACCACCCCTCCGAATAAGACAATGTACAAAATATGAAAATTTTCGAGGTGCCTCATTCAAAGGAGGTGGTTCAACCACTTGGAGTTGATAGGTGATGAGGCTTTTTGATGAAAGCCAAGACAACACATGAGGCTATATTTCCTCAAAATTTCACATCTCCAGCTTGTGTATAGTTATTTTAACACGGCTTCAAAAAAGTGAGTCGCTAATTTTAACGACCAGCGTAGCTCTTTTATTAGACTATTGACAGCACTTTTAATGATAGACTATTAATGACCATGAATAGATTTATTAACGCGCGGAACAACCAGTATAATCAATCTGCGAAATGAAATAATAAAAAAGCGATTTTCGTTTCGCCATAACTTTGCAGAGAGATTGCATAATTTTTACACTTGAAAGTAATAGAATTTCTATCATTTTTTTTTATCTGCGGCATCAAGGTCGTATTACATCCTCAGCCGACCTAAAAAATTAACAACTGTTATTTTTTTCTTGTGCGTTATTAAAATCATATTCGCTGAACGCGTAATTAAAATACGATAAAATGAAATAGTAAGTTTAATAAGCAGATGTAGCTACTTGAATCTCATTAAAATTAGTGAATAAAGAATCTTGAGTTATTGAAAAATCTCGCAAGTTCGCCAGAAGCGTTCATTCATCCTTACTTTTGAGGATGAAAATAAAAATTAAATTGTTAGTTCAAATAAACACCTATTAATTATTGTCAATGTCAGTGAAATTGCTTAAAATATTTTAACATGTTTATTATGATTTTAAGTAATATCCAGGTGTAATTTTTCGTATCTAGGTAATTTTTTTATTGATGCCAAGGTTTACAAACAGCGCTGCACAAAACTCAATTATATTTATTACACAAATTATTCTAATGTTTGGATAAAAAAAAACTTCCATGAAACACTATGTAGGTGCATCGGTATTGCAAATGTCGCTCAAAATCCCGATAAACGATCGTGTTTACCTACCGATAAGTCGAATATTCAGAGCAAATCAAAGGTGTTTCTTCATTTTAGCTATATACAGCCGGTTGCTCAACTCGTAATTCAGTTTTGTTTTCGTTTACGTTTTGTTCCGAGGCGGCGAAGGAGCGGTGCAAATAACAATTTGTAATTTATTCATCGGGCGATTGCGAAAATTCCATTAGAATTCGTTTTTTCCTGCGGATTAAAATGCCAGTTATTAATGCACATGCAATTCACCGAGAGGGTGTTATTATGTTAAGATTTGTTTCATTTTTAGGTGGTCACGGTACTTTTTCCAATCTGATTAATAATTTGGTGCACGTTATTATGTATTTGTACTACATGTTGTCTGGGCTGGGACCTGAATATCAGAAATACGTATGGTGGAAAAAGCATCTAACAACATTGCAATTGGTAAGTTAACGACAATAAAAACCCATTAAATTCACAGATTTTCTTTAATATGTTATCGAAAATTACTATTATTACCTCATAATACCAAACGAATTACCATTACATAATATATGATTGCTTTAAAATACTTTTTTACATTTTCTAAGGTTCAATTTGGCCTGGTCTTCGGCCATTCGGCTCAACTAATTTGGTACGACTGCGGCTACCCCAAATGGGTGGGGTACTTCCTACTAATCCATTCGACCATATTCTTCGCTCTATTCTCCAATTTCTACTATCAAAGATACGAGAACGCCAGCAAAACACCAAAGACAGTGAAGAAAGACTAAAGGACTATTCTAGGATGTTTAAGTAGTTTGTAGACATTCTGTAGGTTACTTTTTAATTTATTGTAACTCATTGCAAGCGCAGGAAATTTGGAAATTTGGCGTGAAAGTCCTTCGCCATTTTTTAGATATACTAAGTAAAATTTAACTTTCGAGTGGAATAAAAAATTATTCGACGCATTAAATCGAAATTTCGAACTAGATTCCAAGGTGAGATATCAAACTTGCATATCTTGATGGTTAAATGGAATGGAATAATAGCGTAATTGCAAAATTACTTCCACTAAGCAACTTAACATCTCGCAAATTGTTGTATCTAAATTAGTAATTGATATACTTAATTTGTTTCTTAACGTTTGCATAATAATCTCGAATTTCAGAGAACTCGTTCATTAATATCTTTAGAGACAATTTTCCCGATGGAAATTTTGCACACTGCTCGGGAAAACTATAAATATTACTCATGCGAAAAAAACTTAACCTAGTCATAGAGTTCTGTGTTACTAAACAGACATAATTGTTAAATAGTTACCTGTATTTAAAACGCTTAACTTTAAGACAGTTGTATACTTTCATATTCAAGTTCCTTTGAAACGTTCAAATGGAGGTTTTGAAGGAACGAACCGTTTGGTATGACATAAATGTTATTCAAATAGGGTGTTTGTAATTATTTAAAGAATACTGGGTATTAGGAGGTATGTGCATTTCGATGTACTTATTATATTAGCGTGGAAAAGAATGTGATAAATAATATGTTTATGCATTCCTGCACAGCAATTTTACTGTATACAAAACGTTGGTGTTCGTGTGAATTGCTCTGTAGGCGACATTTCTGGCTATTTTAGTGGCGGTACTAAAATATCCCGAGAACCAAACGTTTTAAAAAAGACAATAATTACGAGAAAGTTCATTAAATATTAGTAGATTTAAGTGTGTATTTTTTAAAAGAATTTATCTTATTAGATGATACTTGTAGATCCAAGTGTTTTAAACGCTTTTTTTATACTAGTAATGAATATAGTAGAAAAACTTTATACACGAATGAAACTAAATTTTGTTGTAAGTTGATCTTTATATTTTCGGTAACTACTTTGAACTGATGATCAATATATAGATCATTTTATACTTACCTACACCATTTTCGGTGATATTTTTTATGAAATTGGAATTTTTAAATTAAATAAATGGTGAAATTTATGATAGTTATGATTATCGCATTAAAAACGAGAGCCGAAAACTGGCCATAGACCATATTCATTATTAGGTAATATTTTAATATTTTAAGAGGCAATTTGCTCAATATTTTTATAAAATTGAATAAATAAAAAATATATTTCCTATAAAATTTATTTTAATCTTTTTTAGCACAAATTAAATTGTGTACAAGTTAGCTTTATTATTCCAGAAAATTCCGAACCTTCGAACGCTCCTTGTTCATCTTCTCTAATTATACAGGGTGTTTTTAAATAACATGTTAATACTGAAGGGGGTATTTCTGCACAGCGGTTAATGCAACGATAGCATACAAATAAATGCAATTAATTTTTTTATGCGAAACGGCGAGTTGTACAAAAAAAAGTCAAGAAATCAAATTTGTTCTAAGTTGCACGGGGTCTCGAAAAATAACTTTTATTTTAAGAGAAAGCAGTGGCGTACCATTTTTACCCTCAAAAATATTTGGCCTGTGTCCATTACGGACGTCGCAGTTGGAATCAAAAAAATGTTTTTTAGGCCAAAAAATGCTCTTTCATGCATAAACGTCGTACACCAAATTTCATAAAAATATTTAAAGTGGTATGGAAATTACAGTAAAAAATTGATTTTTTTCTTAAAACTTTAACACACCCTATGTTTCATAAGTTAAGACGTTTAGGATATAGGTTTATATGAAGTTTTTTTCTTAAAATGAGCCCAATAATAACCCTCTTCAGTATTAGCATGTTATTAAAAACACCCTGATACATTTCCACTAATCAATGCGATTTTACTCTTCGGCTAACTTTCGATCCGTTAGCAAAATTATGCTCTTTTCGCAAGATCCCTTTCCTATCGTCCGTCTTTACACCTTCCGGTTTCTTATTCTTGTTATACGCTTGTTCGTAGAATTGCTTGAAGAGGAATAAGAACATAACGCCGTGCAGGAGGATATACCAAGTAAAGAACCGCGGAAAATCGCATTCCCGGAAGAACAATTGGAACGTGTGGACTATTATCGCTACAAACTGCGCCTAAAAAGTTTTATAAATTTACATATTACGATTATTTGTTGCGGGTGCGATTTTAATTTAATTACTATTTGTAGGGCTGTGAGGTGCTTCTTCCACCAGAGGTACTTCTGAATGCTGGGGCCCATAGCACTCAGCAGATAGTAAGTGTACATTATCATGTGAATAAAACTATTTAGCAAGCCGAAGAAGGTACCGTGACCAGCTGAAATAGAGCTATTATTTTATTTCTGAAGCAATTTCATCTGGATTTTTCGCGTTCGGTTACAATGAAAACTATTGTTAATTAGATTGCTGGGGCCTGTTTCATATAACTGACAAGTCCTGTCGGACAAGTGTAGTCTAAATTTGACTGGAGTATTTGACAAGTTTGTGTTTCATAAAATTACACGAGTAGATTATTAGTGACAAAAGTGATTAGCCTAATATTACAAGTCTGTTTTACAATTGTAGATTGGTTTACGTTTCATAAAAAATAAATTAAACAACACTTGTCATTTATTCCTATCATACATTAGTGTAAAGCGACAGGGACTTGATTTTCTGTCACCATCCGATTTTCTTGTAAATTTAAAAGAAAATGTGGTCTAGCGACAGTGAGGAGGAAGCTTAATGGGAGTTTAATAAAAGATTTCGAATGAATTCGATAAAAATGGAGGAAATAATAAAATCTATTTGTCCCCGCCTAATGTATAGAACCAACGTATAGAAATTATGCATTGTCAATTTATTCGTTTCAATGCTCACATTTTGTAGCTTTTGTAGAAGTGGGACTAAATTTTCCAAATAGAATGCCCGTTCTTTATCAAAATAATTGAATATTAAATAAATGTTGCTGCATTTTAGAAATAAGTTTTTTGTCAATAAACGAAATTGTCGTGGTTCACATCTAAAAATGGCTCCAACCAGAAAAAAAAAACAATTTCAAAGTAAAAGTCTCCCAATATCGAAAAACGAAGGTTGTGCTATGCTTATGCTCCTCAGTATAGTAAGTACTATTTTTTTCTTTTTGGCTTAAGTCTGACGTTTAATTAATATTACAGTTGTAGAAAAACGGATGCCAAAAATGTAATTCGACAAGTGTCGAAATTTATTTTATGAAACGAAATTTTTAAATACTTGTCAACCAACACTTGTAACTTGTCGACTTGTAACTTGTCAACTTGTCAGTTATATGAAACAGACCCCTGGTCCTTTAGGTACTTACTAGAAATAAACAATTTCATGCCCATCCAAATTGACACGGGCATGATGCCGTGATGGATGACGTGCAGAACAGATATATGGCTGTTTTTCTTGGTCAGGACGAAAAATATCTAAAATTCAGCGGAAAAATTATCATTATTTCTAAAATGTAGATTGCTCTATTGATAAATTATCACACATACGTAATATCAATGGAAATTTTAGTTGTTTTAATTCGTTCTAACAATGTAATGCAATAATTAAACAATAATGAAGGTCTTATGAAAATTTCGTATTAATACAATATTAAATATTCATCAGGTGTTATATAATTTATAGAAATTACCGTATCTAACAGGTCTATGTATTTTGCTACTAAGTACCAATATGATGCTCGTACTAGCTGTAAATAACGGAATTAAAAAAAAAACGATGATTACAAAAAATTCCTCGACTTACTCTTAGAGTACTCGGTTTGTTAGAGTAATCAATTGGTTGACATTTCCAACTGTATTCTCCAGTAAACCACCCGCCCATTCCTACCTGTAAACAAATCATTTTTACAATACAGGGTGTCCCACGACGAGTTAAAACTATCTGTATATAGGAAACTTCTTATCCGATTTAAATAATATTCGGTATAATAATATACATTATGCAATAAGACGAATCTCTTAAATACATTTTGACAGTCGTACCACTTCCGGATATACCGGAAGTAGGCATCAACTTTATTATTTCAAATGGAACACACTGTGTATTAATAAATTTTTGAAATATACGTAAAATTTAAGGGTATTTTTGTCTAAAACACTTTTTTCATTAATGAATACTTTTTGAATTATTTTTTTTTAATTTGACAAATGCGGACCCTTAAAAATACTTTTTACGAGCATTCCCTTAAAGAAATGGAAACGGTTTCTGTAAGGGGGCTACTGGCAGGTCAAAAGTATTTCAATCTGTGTTAAAAAAACTTTTTATTTTACTCAGGGTGTGTATAAAAATGTTGAATATCAAAAATATCAAATTTCTTCATTTTTTAAATGATTTTTTTACCTCTTTTAGCTGAGTGGGTGTAATGCTACTTAGGAGATACCAAAACAATATATTATACTAATCCTGCTTAAAACTTCACACTAATTGGCTCAGCTATTGCCAATTTTACAGCGTTCCAAAAAAAGGAATAACTAATTATGACTAGCAGTGTAAGTATAAAGTATGAGGGAGTAACTGTTGCATGCACTAACCTCATAAAAGATCCAGGTACTCATTATAACTTGAAACAAATTGTACACTATTAAAATGTTCTTTATATTGAAGGGTTTCCTTTTTTCCATTAGCTTTGGTCCGATTACCTAGAAAATAGAATTATTGTAGAAATTGTCAATCAAAGAGGAAAATTAAAAAAATGAGGTGGTTAACAAAGGTGAAATATGTTGAGTAAGAATTAGTTTTAATTGAATCATAATTGTAATTATACTGACCTTAACAAAGAGTATATAGGAAAAAACTATTCCTAAAGTGGGAAATATACTTGACATCATGAACCAATCGGCCACTCTAGTATCTATTTTAACCCAAAATAAACAGAACTAAATTAAATGCAAAATAAACTAAATTATTGTTAAAAACTAAAAATATACAAAATTTAAGTTTCAATAATTAACAGAATAAATACAAACCTTGTTGTTTGTCGAAGAAATCATCGACTTCATGCTTGATATTCCACAAGAAATCCATCATTAATTTACCTTCAATCGTCTAGAATACTTTTGAAAACTCCGTAGTATTGATAGTAGTGTACGAATATAACGAATAGAAGCCAAACTAGACCAATTACTGTTAAAACCTAAAAAAGTAAAAAGTTTTATCGTAAAAATGAGTTTAATTATTTAAATACTACCTGAAAAAGTGTAACTAATACCAGTAGTACGCAATACCGGAGCCACCAGAAAGCACAGAGTATACATGTACCCGAATAACGAAATTTTATATGAAAATTCAATGGAATTACTTTGAATTTCAAATATAATTTTGGATTTAAATTTTGGAACGAAATTTAAAATAGTTGTCATTGTTACACTGTCAGGTTTTAATTAAAATGTCCAAGGGAATAAAACACCAAATCAGAAAAAATACCTAATCGCTTGAAACTTGAAAATATGGAGCAAGTATAGGTTGATTCGATTCCTTAAATGAGATAAAGTGATATAAATTGGAGTCCTTTGAGGATCAGATTTTTTATGGAAAGAATCTCCTTGTTCTCTCCTTCTTAGATCTTTCATTGAAGTATCTTTTTCAAAGTGACTCAATCTTGATAAGCAGCAAACACCCCTTAAGTTCAGAAAGAATCCTTCTTAAGTTACAGGGGGAGGAAAATAAATAACACAAATAAAAGTAGATAGGATAAAAAAAATTGGAAAACTATTTTTTATTCGTATTAATTCAACAACACATTCCTACTAAGTTTAAGGCGATGTGAGATAAATTAGAGCCCTTTGAGTCAACAGATTTTTTATGAAATGAATCTTCTCTCCTTCTTAGCTCTTTCATTGAAGTATCTTTTTCAGTGAAAATCAATTTTGATAAACAGCAAACACCCCTTAAGTTCAAAAAGAAATACTTCCAGTTGGTAGTTACGGGGGGAGAAAAATAATTAACACAACAAAAGTATAAATATCAATACACTTTTTTGATGGAACTAAAAAATTTCCACCATTACTATCTAAAAAAGGGAACTTTAAACAGTTACAGCATTAACGGAATAAAAAAAAATTGGAAATTTATTTTTTGTGAATATTAATTTAACAACACGTACCAAATTTGAGGCGATGTGAGATAAATTAGAGCCTTTTGAGTCATCAGATTTTTTTTATGAAAAGAATCTCCTTGTTCTCTCCTTCTTAGCTCTTGCTTTGAAGTATCTTTTTCAATGAAAATCAATCTTGATAAACAGCAAACACCCCTTAAGTTCAGAAAGAAATACTTCCAGTTGTTAGTTACAGGGGAGGAAAATTAATAACATCAACAAAAGTATAACAAAAATTATATTTAAAATTTCCATATCCACCTTTTATTGGAGTTAAGAAATTTCCATTTCTATCTAAAAAAAAGCGCTAAACAGTAACAACATTAACGGAATAAAAAAAACTGGAAAACTATATTTTTGTGCGTATTAATTCAACAACACGTACCAAATTTGAGGCGATGTGAGATAAATTAAGAGCCTTTTGAGTCACCAGATTTTTATATGGAAAGAATTTTCATGTTCCCTCCTTCTTAGCTTTTAGTATCTTTATCAAAGAAAATTTAATTAAGCAGTAAACAACCCTTAAATTGGGAAAGAATACTTCTAGTTTATAGTTACAGGTGGAGGAAAATAAATAACACAAACAAAAGTATAATAAAAAGTATATTTAATTTCGATACACCTTTTATTGGAGCTAAAAAATTTCCATTACTATCTAAAAAAAGGCACTTTAAACAGTGACAACATTAACGGAATAAAAAAAAATTGGAAAACTATTCTTTGTGCGTATTAAACACGTACCAAATTTCATCTTTCTTTTCAAGCACAGTGTAAACGGATCACTAAGTGATTTCAATCAAGCTCGTGTTCGACAAATTCACACCGGATAAATACTATTTGATGGCACCGTTGTTGGTTCAAATGAATTTTCCAAGACAATAGATATTTCCAAGTTGAATTGGCGCGAATGCGGCAATAAATAAAAATTTGTATCTAACAATATACTATATAAAAAAATATAAAAAAAAACATTTCAACAGAATCTTGATAATTAAAACGATTCACAGTTATTCAACTTTGAAAAAAAAACAGTAACAACGTAAAATAGGTAGGTATAATAAAAGTAATTAATTACAGCACTGATAAAGAGACACACCGTTGTCAAAAAAAAGGGAATATTTCTGTTAAAAGGAAATTTACATAAGGAATGTTTCGTATCGAGATCTTATTCACAACATCCGAAATTAAATGATATATCTATTAACTCCTTACAATATTATATACTTATGTGTTATAGATATAAAATCATCGAGTGATGTAATCACAGATTCGTTTTGTATTCTGCGTTATTCCTTCTTAACAGAACAAAATATTTCTTATACATGTAGATATTTATTATTATCGTTTCGAATGCAGCATTTTGAACGGGATTGCAATCAGGTGCTTCCTGTTTAATTCGTTTGTACTACACTACATTTAGTTTAATACTCAACAGTTATTTAATACTAAACCTTCACCTACTGTTCTCGAGAATAATTAACGACTAAATTCGGCATCTAACATTTCCAATTCGACACTGTGCTGTTTTATTAAACCGTCCATTCATAAATTAGAATAACGTACAACAAATGAACTTCCCCCCAAATTCAAATCCATCCATTCGCCGCATTAAATTAAGTAAATCGTCCGTATTGAATGAATTAACTAGAAATTAATACTACTAACTAACTAATATCACTACGATTTCATCCTCCGGTGGATCTCGGACGAACCGTTAACATAACATTCGCTGAGCTTGGTCGCCCCGTTTTTCTTCTCGTCGAGCACCGCGTGCCCGTTGGCGCAGCCGTTCGAAACGATCCCGTTCTTCGCCCGTTCGGCCTTCAATCGCCGCTGGTTCCTGTTGTACGTGTGATTGTAGAACTCCTTGAACAGGAAGAAGAACATGACGGCGTGCATGCCGATCCACCAGACGAAGGCGCGCGGGTAGTTGCATTCGGTGAAGAGCAGCTGGAAGGCGTGCACCATGATCGCCACGAATTGCACCTGGAAATTCAGAGTTGAATGGTGTTTTGGTGGAGGATAATCGGTGGGTGTAGAGCATTACCATTTGGAGGCTGGTGAGGTACTTCTTCCACCAGAGGTACTTCTGCATGTGGGGGCCCATGGCGCTCAGCATGTAGTAGGTGTACATGATGATATGGACGAAGGTGTTGAGGAAACCGAAGAAGGTGCTGTGGCCGCCTGGAAATGTTATCAAATCAGTTTAAAGGATTCTTTTCTTGCAGAGTTGGATCAATGAGGCTAGCTTCTTTTTTTCGAAAATTGGAATATCACGAGACCAGTTTGGGTCATGGAAGATCTCTAAGGAGACTAAAACTTATTATTGGTACTTTAGAATTAAAATGAAGAAAATTGTTTAGCAAATTCCGGGTATTAAGGAAACTGAAGAAGGTTATGTGGCTGTCTGGAAATATTAGTAAATTCATTTAAAGGTTTCTTTTCTTCGCGAAATGGACCAGGAGACAAATTTGCGTAATGGAAGATCAGCTATTTCTACATAAGCAAACTAAAACAATTCGTTATTGATACTTTAGAATTAAAGTGAAGAATGGTGTTTAGCATATTCCAGGTTTTGGGGATAATAAAGAAGGTAATGTGGCTGCCTGTAAATATTATCAAATCAGTTTAAAGGATTCTTTCCTTCCAGAATTGGACCAATGAGACTAGTTTCTTTTTTTCGAAAATTGGAATATCACGAGACCAGTTTGGGTCATGTAAGATCTCTACATAAGGAGACAAAAACTTATTATTGGTACTTTAGAATTAAAATGAAGAAAATTATTTAGCAAATTCCGGGTATTGAGGAAACTGAAGAAGGTTATGTGACTGTCTGGAGATACTAGTAAATTCATTTAAAGGCTTCTTTTCTTCGCGAAATGGACCAGGAGACAAATTTGGGTAATGGAAGATCAGCTATTTCTACATAAGCAAACTAAAACAATTCGTTATTGATCCTTTAGAATTAAAGTGAAGAATGGTGTTTAGTATATTCCAGGTTTTGGGGATAATAAAGAAGGTAATGTGGCTGCCTGTAAATATTATCAAATCAGTTTAAAGGACTCTTTTCGTCGAGAATTGGATCAAGTAAGTACTAATAATCAGTAAGTACTAATGATCAACTTTAGGTCATGGAAGATCAGCTATCTCTGCATTAGTAAGCTAAGACAACTCATCAGAGATACTTTAGAATTAAAGTGAAGAATGGTGTTTAACATATTCCAGGCTTTGAGGATACTGAAGAAGGTTATGTGGCTGCCTAGAAATATTATTAAATCAGTTTAAAAGCTTCTTTCCTTCGAGATTTTGACCAGGGAAACAAGTATGAGTCATGGAGGATCAGCTATCTCTACATAGCAAACTAAAACAACTTATCATGGGTACTTTAGAATTAAAGTGAAGAAAAGTGTTTAGCAAATTCCAGGTGTTAAGGAAACCAAAGAAGGTCACTTGACTGCCTGGAAATACATATTATTAAATTAGTTTAAAAGCTTTTTTTCTTCGAGAATTAGACCAAAGAGGCAAGTTTGGGTCATGGAAGATCACCTTTCTTTACATAAGCAAGCTAAAACAATTCATCATTGGTACTTTAGAATTTAAATAGAGAAAAATGCTTAGCATATTCCAAAACCAACTTGATACTAGGAAGCTCCGAGCAACATAAAATTAGACCACCTTCCTTTACAACATTTACATACATACATTCATACTATTAACCAAGCGGAACTAGTTCACTCTCTTCGTTTCTGCAGAGAATAAAAAGGATAAATTCGTTTAGATTCAACTGAGCAATGTAAAGGTATATTTTAACACCAAATTGATTCGTTATCCGAAGCGTGAGAGGCCAAAGTAGTTTCGACTAGTTTTGACTGTTTGGTTTGCGTTTATCGATTGATGTTGCGATTAGTGCAACGCCGTAACATGCAATTGATCGGTTTTAATTAACTAATTAATTAATTAATTCGAGGCAATGCATACCGGGTGTGTATTTGACGCCGAACCAAACCGACATGGGCATGATGCCGTGGTGGATGACGTGCAAGGTGGATATGTGGTCGTTTTTCTTCCTCAGAACGAAAAATATCTGCAAATTATTAAGCAATAATAGATCATTCTTTAGATGAAGTGGGAAATACTTACTGTATCAAAGAACTCGGTGAATTTCGAGAAGAAGTACCACCATGATGCGTGTACCATCTGAAAGTGGGGAATCCTTTAGGTACAGTAAAAATGCAATGTTATTGATGGAACTTACTCGTATTGTGCTCGGTTTATTTGAATAATCTACTGGTTGACATCTTAAGCTGTATTCACCCGTAAACCAACCTCCCAGTCCTATCTGAAAATACACCAACAATATAACTTAACTTTTACTACTCAAAATACATCTAAAATTGGTTGCCTATATCTTACATTTATTTTTGATCAATGTAAATTCTTTATAAGTACATAAACGTAATCCAATTTTTATAATGAAAAATTCCATTTAGGCATATCATGACCTAATTTCTACAGGGAATATTACGATTATAACTAAAAATTTAATGGGGAAAAAGGAAGTAATTTTGTGATTAGATAACTCGGATAGTCAATATGTAATTGGTACCGGACAAGGCATGCGTGTTTCACATAGCAAACATCAGTTACAGATACTAACCTGATAAAAAATCCACGCACTAAAAACAACTTGGGCGAAATTATAAATAATTAACGTATTTTTTAGGTTGAACGGTTTCCTATTTTCCATCAGTTTTGGTCCTATTACCTAAAAAAAGCGTTACAATGCTTAAATTTTATGCAGTTAATCAATCGGTATGAAATAGTTTTCTCGTTTCGTTTATTGCAACATTTCACGCTCTCAATGATACTAACCTTTACTAAATATATATATGAAAGACATATTCCTAAAGTGGGGAATGGACCTGACATCAGGAACCAATCGGCAGTCCTGGGGTCTAAATCAAAATAAAAAAAAACATTATGAGAGAAACTTAAACGAATACTACAAATGATGCAAATAAACAGTCAGAAGAAACTTAAGAAAACGATGGTATTTAAAGTAATAAAATTACCTATTCGGTATTATGTTTTAAACGATTTAAAATGGGTATCTAATGCCGCTATTTGTGTAATTTACTAGCCAATTATTACAACCCATTCCGATTCAAACCAAAAAAATGTTCATGTAGAAAACGCGCTCATAAATATTCTACTTTATTAATATACAGTTAAAAGTGGACCAACTTTCATTAACATTACCAGCTAAAACGACACCTGTTGTACCTGTGTGTGCCACAAAAAAAAACTATATGTATATAGTGTTTATCTGGTCTAATCTCTCCAAACACAACGGTAAATTTTTGGTATGCATGATTTTAAATCCGCTTGTTAAAATAATACACAATTAGCCAGAAGCATATCTAAAGATGCATGATAGAAACGAAACGTAACAAAACCAATTTAAATCGTAAACGAGGGTAAACATAAAGTTTTGAATGAGCGATTCGACTATAAATTTAACTCGAATTTGAACTGCTTCGTGTCTACTTTGATCGTTCAATCGGAGCTCTTGAGTTTGGAATTCGACGAATTCTGAATTATTGGCCGATTGGGAATCGCTAAATCTCCGATTCGTCCGTGAATATTCCGGCCGTACTTCGTGAATTTACAATTTATTCACTTTACGTAACGCGCGAGGCCTAAACGAAGCAGGACTTTTGCAATCAATGGATCACAAATTCATGACGAAAGATCGAACCGTGAATTCGTCGAGTTCAAGGCGTTGGTAGAAAAGTTTCTAATTTTCGTTGGATTTTCGGAAAACATCATTCTCGAATATACTGACCTTGGTATTTATTTAAATATTTATTGACGTCCTGTATTATATTCGCTATAACAGCCATTGTTGATTTATCTGAAACCAAAACGAAATTCTATTAGTAAGTTCGAGCAACGTGGCTAACTCCAAGTTTGTTATAAATAATTGAAACTACAAATTCGCCTTCAATCGAAGCACGCGAGGAGTATTATTAGATACTGCATATTTCAGTTGCCCTTTTCATCAGTACTGGTAAAAATCGTACCTATACAGGGTGATGTCGAGGAATAGTACGTGAATTGTACGCTGAATAATTTGAATTTAAATCGGCTTTTTTGCAATGGACTCGCGAAAAATTGGAACGAGCACAATCGAACTGCAACGCACCGACTTCAATTTAGAATGAACGCCTGCATTTTAATGAGCCCCTTTTTAAATAATGGCGAAACATGTATAATAACTAGGTGTATTATTAGTTCGAATGATAAGGACTCGTATGACTGCACTTCATTTGAATCTGATAATTATTATACGAGGTGGTTCGATTTAGTAATTTGTTTCTCTCATTAAGGGCTGGTAATATCCAATTTTAGTGAAAATTTATTAGATTTAGGGATTTTGTTGTTGTTACTAGAATTTCACTAAACTTTATGGAGTTTTTATTGACCGATAGTGCAAAATTTAATCAAATATGTAGGTACCAAATTAAGAAAAAAAAACCTTGTAAATCTACAACTTTCTCAACATAATGTACACCCTTTAGGATTGCTAACTTTTATCTCATAAATCAGCATTTTCAGCACCCTGTATGAAAAAAAAATATGTAATTTTTTTCATACATTTCTAATTTCACCTTATCAATTTCTTTACGTCAATAATTACACCAACATGGCTATTATGCTAACGAATACATCATATACAATTATTTAGGATGTTTAACATCGTGTAATTAAATACCTGCTCGCTGTTAATTCGCTGATAATGTAACAATTAATTTCGCATATCGTTAATTTATCGATTACTCCTAACAACAATTTCCCGAACGCAGTGAAAACCTAACAGAACCTGTTGTAAAATACCAGTAGATAAACATTGATTGGATCAATTCAATTATTTTTACGCGCATATTAAATTAATATGTCCGATTGTTTGGATTCGATGCACCCACAAAATTAGCTCCAATTACGAGCGAACAATGCGACAATAACATTAAAACATTACGAGATAAACGGGCGAAAACTGATTTTTATATAATTCGACATAACACAACGACGTTATGAGAATGTTCATTTAAATTTTCATCAGACCGCCGGCGCAACCTTGGATTGTCACTGGTGTAACTGGTACTCACTAATCACTGTTTAAAAAATATCGCAGATTTGCTATTCTGTCTCCGTTTTGGATACGAGGATTTCCACTAATGTGAAGTTCGATCAATTTAAATGTAAATACCACGGCAGGCATGACACTTAAATTTTTATAAAGGTCGAAGTTGATTAATAATAATATCCTCTTCAGGTTTTCTTTCTATTTCTGTAATTTCACCACGAAATGGCGTAGCAAAACTGGATATTACATGTTTATTGTCTACTAGTTTCCCACAAATGTTGCGCTTTTTTTATTAAAATAGCATTTATTCCCACATCGTGCACGCGAATTTATGCTCTTATTTATATTTATGAGCACATCATTGTAAGTTCAAGTAAATTTCAATGTAGGTACCTAAAGGATTTTTTTGTTTTGATGCACTATTGCATGAAGAATCATACAAACTTCGCAGGTATCTAATTAGAACAAAAATATTATTAATACAAGCAATAATCGCCATAAAAATAATTTATCGACGTTTTCTAATTAACAAAAAATTTCGAGATGAAGTCTATAAATAAACGACCCAATATTAGATAATATTAATAACCGGTCAAAATTAGAAAGCACTATATATTTTGCAACAACATCTCGTCATATACAACATAACCCTTTAAAAATTACCTTTTTCATGCTAACAATACACCAATTATTTAAACAGTAGGTACGATATAAATTAAAATTGTAACTGATTACTGTTGAAGTGGCTAATTTAGTAAGCAATAAATGCACCTAGATAATTATGTAATTAGTTGTTTAATTTCGGTGGCCTTCGCTTTATACATACATCAGCCACTAGAGATGGACTAATTAATGGATCTAAACAAAACGTTCAGGACAGTGGGACATTGTATTACAAACATCGAGTGTTTTGAATTAACGAAACCTCAATTCGAGTTTCTACAATAAATAAATAAATTATTAATTCTTTATTGTTTGCTCTTGCTAAACATTGTAAGTGTGTAAGTGTAAATGAACATTCCGCGTGTTAAATTTAATTAGCGGACATTTTTTTCCGTATACATACAAATTAATATGGTTAATTATAAAAGTACATTTAAAATAATGCAATAAACGGTAATGTGCGTAGGTAACCGATTCGTTTGAATTATTATGTTTTGCACTTTACATGCAAATTGGAGGTAAATTAGCTAATTTTCTTAAAAGCGTGCATAAGTAATTTTTAATTTATTTTTTGCTAGTTAATTTTAGGTAATTAGTTGCACATTACAAAACTTTTCACTATTTCTATTTTACTTAAGTACCTATTTATTCAATTATTAGATTTTCTTTTTCTATTCATAATTTAGTAGGTAGCTATTTACAGTGAGTTTCATAATGACATGCAAATATTTAAGGGGATGTTTCTTGGACCCATTTTATGAAAAAAACTTCATTTAAACATATGTCCTAAACCTAAAATTTATTATGTTTTAATTTTAGCAAAGCGGCTAATGTAGCGGCAGCATACAAATAAATGCATTTATTTTTTTAATTCTAAACGATGAGCCGTACGGAAAAAAGTCAAGAAATCAAATGTGTCCTATATTGAATGATGATTCCGAAAATAATATTTATTTCAATATTAGGCAGTGGCGTACCAGAAAATACATCATGATACATAGAAGACGTGTGCCAAATTTTATAAAGATAGCTATAATAGTATCACAGTTATTACAAAATATTTTAAGATTTTTTTCTTAAAACTTTTACACCCTGTATCTCAAAAGGTTAGATGTTAAGGACATTGGTTTATATGAAATTTTATTTTTAAAATGAGTCCAGGAATCACCCCCTTAAATATTAGCATGTCATTTTGGAATATCCTGTTACATTTTAAGGGGTTAAGTAAATAATATATAAATTTCTAGTCTCATTTAAGACGTAATCTAAATTGTGCCTACCTATAGTAACAGCATATTCTTTATTTATAGATAAAGAGATAAATTTACAGATGAAATCTGAGAGAACAATCATTATTTTTCGTATGCTTAAAACCACTACAGAGACATGGTAATAAATTACAGTGATAGAGAAACGCGATAATTTATTTGCGGCGATTAAACTATAAATATTTTGAGTTCGCGATTACAATTCGTATCTACCAGTTTTGCCGAAATTAATATAGGATTTTAGAAATTGAGTGCCTACTCAACCAGATGACATCATTTTGGTAGTTTTTTGAGAGGTTTTACATAAAATAATGGAATTTTATTTAACGAAATTTGCATCGAATCGTCGTTAAATTCTTAATGCTTTTACTTTCTTCTAAAAAATTCGCGAGGATAATAAATAAAATTCCTGTTAGCCAAATAAATGCACTTATTTATAGTGAAACAAATTTAATGACGGTAATAGAACGATTTTAAGTAGCTGTTTAATTAACACTATAATTACTTGGATTAAAAGAATAAATATTTGTCTCACGCACTTTGTAGTATGTAAATATGAATTTATTCCCATAGCTAAATTCCAAGTTTTTAGGAAATATTAAGCTAAATAGTTTTTTAATTATAACAATTATCATCATAGAGAGGAAATTGTATTTTAATTATGATTAGTTGTAGGAAGTAAACGATTGTAGGGTTTTTACTATGTACCTACATGCACATTTTAATCACTCTTATATTACATTGCAAAATAATTTTCATTGCAAAATCTCTACTGTCAATCTTCATCAACAATTTTTTTATACAATTTTCCATTACAAAATTCGCTCCTACAAAAGCTCCTTACAGCTCTACACTTGACCCGAACAACAAATACATCGGGGTATCGACCTCCATTTCAAGTGTACAACATAATTTATTTACCTGTCATGTAGTCCATTCAATTTGTTATTTTTCATATGCCGTTTTTTTCCACCTCACCGGCCAGAAAATTACAAGACGCCATCGAAATCTCGGTATTCCCAGAAGAATCAAATAAAAAATCAATGAAATGATCTTTAAACATCCGTTCTGTCAGTCGATAATTACAAATTTTTATTATTATTTTTAACAACAAAATAATTTGGAAATCTTGCAAGGTTGTATGTATAATAATCGCAAATTATAAGAGATTGTTTGTCTTTTATATGTTTAATTTTATGGAAAAAATGTATTAAACTGAAAAGTAAATGATATTGTAGGTATATAGCCCGGTTCTTCAAGCATTAATAATTCATGTAATGAATCCTGGAAGGACCAAAGAAACTCTAGAAGAACAAAAATTGTACTAAACCTCTGGATTCATTGTCAAACTGTACCAATTTTCGTTTGAATTACCCCATAGACCTTGCGTTTTCAGCCTCATTCGACGGGAAAAAATCGTCTGGTTGAAGTCCGGTATTTAACAATAATTATCGAATTAGGCGCAGCAATGGCAGGAGTCACAAATTGCAGTAGTTGTTCAACGTTTCGGGGTCAAGGTTGAATTTGAGAAAAATGGAATCGCTTCGATTCAACAGAGGATTACGTAATTGTTGATATATAATAAACAATGCAGTTTCGTAACAATCGTGTGTGTGTGTGTTTTACACACTTTTGTAATTCGTACGGAAGTGTAAACTCCGCGTTGTAGTATAATTATGATCAGTCGAGAGTTTCCATTGGAACTGAAAAATGTTCACACCATACAATGGACTTTTGTGTGGAACGTGAGTAAGGGTAATGTTAATTGTTGGGGTAATTAGAGGAAAAAAAATTGCTGAAATGAATACGGGTTAAATCGAAGATTATGACACGCGAAATCGTAAAATCGGCATTCGCTTTCTCGGCCGAAAGTGTACAATAATGAGCACTTTGTAAAAGTATCATCAATGCCGGTGTTCATGTTCGATCGGACTTTTATTTATCGAAATCCGATTGCGCAAAGATTGCGCCGTCCGAATCGGAGTAGGTCTAGCGCAACAAAAGGCGATGATTATTTATTTACTCGGTTAATTCGGGAAGCAAATCCTTCGGACTGTAAAAGGATACTCGTAAAAACCGCTCGAAATCGAAGAAAAAAATCGCTCCGACGGCGGCCCATTCAATCCGTTGAATTTATTGTCGGCGATAAAAACTGCGAATCCGGACTTATTTTCCCATTATCCGGAAAATATTGCGTGCGGTAAGCGTTTTACTACGCGTTTAACCGCACTCGCGCCGGTCATGCGATATATGTAACAAAAGAAACGAATTTTTAGAACTGTACCTTTTTATGCCATATCCTCTGTAAATTACAAAACGTAAAGTAACGTCAGTATTGTAAATAAAACAAATTATTCTTTGAATTCTACATTTTATAGCGTAAAATCCAGAAATTCGTCAACTATTAGTAGGTAAATTTCCTAAATCGTCATTGCGAGACCTTTAAAATGTCTCGAAACAACTTCCTTTGAATTCATAAATTGAAACTTCGCAGCGATATATTAACATTTTAGGCAGCTTTACGATGTTAAGGACAATGTCGTTAAAAATATTTTATAAACAATTACACTTGTAACAATAAATGGTTTATGTTTTGCGAGACGTTTTATTTGTATCTAACAAACTATGTTTTTCCAACACTAGACAGTTTGAAAATAATTGTTCTAAAAATAATTTTTAAGTTGTTACTTAATTAATTTTCGAATAAGTAGGTTAATTAAGCGGTTATATGATAATGTTTTACACGTATTAGTAAGTTAATAAATAAAGATAATAAATTGTAAATAGAGTTATTTCGGGTGGAATGTGTGATGCGTTTATCTATTTTTTTATCTAAAACAAATTTACGAAGTCTCACATTCGAAAGCACAAATTTTGCAATTCACTTGAATAATCAAATGTGTTTAGATTTATCCAAAAATTTAAATTCTCTTCTACTTACATTTTTAGAGAAAAGAAACTAACGAGATACTTCGTATGTAGAGCAAAAAAACCGAATTATTTCTAATAAATTAATTATTTTACGGTACACTACAATTAAAAATTCGCGTATCGATAGTGAAAGTTTGAATAGAATTCAATTATTATGCAAAGATTGCGCATAAGCGAATTTAAATCGACCCAGTACTAGCACTCAAACAAAATTTTTATCTTAATTAAAAACGCAAAATACAATAATGTTTACTACAAACATTTACATAAAAAAATAATTTACCTATACAAAACTTCAATCACATGCAGTACCTTCATAAATCCAATCACATAAGTTCAACAATATCGGCTAATATTTACTATATTATAACTGAACACGTTAGTACAACAAACT